TTGTTCGTTCCCTGTATATAGCTGGATCCCTTGCTACCTGGAGACTCTAGTTTCGACCTCTTGTCTCCAGGTAAGCCATCGTGTATTTCGCTCTGTAGATACCTCGCTCAATACACAACTTGTCTCCAGTCCTGCCTGTTGAGCTCCGCTCCAGTCTCACTGCGATCAGAGCTCGTCGGCGCTCCTGCCTGCCTCGCTCGTCTCCACTTACTCGCTCGACAGTCAGTCGTAACAGACGCGGGTCGGGCGTCACGTCCGTGGGGGTTGCGGGGCGCTGGTTGCGGCTTGGGGTAACGGGGTGGTGCGGTGCGGGGCGAGGGGGGGGGGAGGACTCCAGCGAAGTCTTCCTGATCGGGCGCTTGTTCTTGGGGGTGGTGCGCGTTGGCTGCGGTGGGGCAGAGGGGGGTGGCGTCTGGGGACGCGTGGGTGGCCTCGTGTCAGCGGGCGGGCTGACACGAGGCGGAGATGGCGCCGGTGCAGGGACCGGCGACGAAACAGAGGGGAGGGGGGTGGTGGTGGGGGGGTTGAGGTAAATGTTGTACCCCAGTTGGAGCATGTTCGCTATGAAGTCGAGGAGGGGGAGGTGGTTGGGTGGGGGTTTGGCGACGTAGATGGATGTCGCTCCCTGGATGAGGTCGTCTGCAAAGGTGGCAGACTCAAGGAGCTCGGGGAATAAGTCCGCGAGGGACTTCGTCGAGTACTGGCGGCCATCAATGGAGACGATGGGCTTGTCAACGTTGGAGATGAGGTACTCGATCTTGTGTTCGGGAGGAGGGGTGGAGGTGGCAGGCATCTTCGACGAGGAGGGGCGACTGGTGGACATGGTGGTGGTACAGGTCGAAGGAGCGGCGGGGTGAACAGCACCGTGACGGAAACGCCGACGTCTTGGCCGGGGATTAGCCGAGGCGCCTATGAGCGCTAGTGCATGTAGATTCGCGTGGTTTGTTGATGCGGTGATGCGCGCCCTCTTTTGGGCGAAATAGCCGGACTATTAGCACGCGGCGTTGAAAGTGAATCACCGCGTTCAAGGACCTCCTAGTTGAGGGGCGAGTGCCTGTGAACAGGTGTGTCATCGGAGTCTGGTCGGAGTACTAATCAGTAGGCCATTCGAAGTTGTGCCAACTGTGGATATGTGTGAATAGATGGTTGATCGAACACAATATTGCATTGGACCAGAGCATGCAATCGCGATGTTAGCAGGTGGCCGATTTACGGTCCGAATCGATGGATTATTCAAGGGGTCATCCACGTGCGGTTTGAGGTTCGAATAGATGGACTACTCGAGGGGGTCATATATGTCCGCCGTTTGAGGAATCAACACACAAGGGAGTCAAATATGCAAAGAGCTTGGTATATTTCAAATAGCTCTATCTAATACACATGCGAGCTACCAAGCAAGTCTCGTAGAAATAACCATGAAGTTTGGCATCGCGGCGCGCCCGTGCTGGTATTACGCCTGCCCACTAGTACTGCTCCCGCCTGCTTCAACAATGGACGTCTGGCCCGGAAATGTCAGCGATCCGGATACTCAAAAAGTCTAGGACCACTTACGTGTATATATCAAGCAGAGACTGTTGGGGAGTAGTATTAGCGAGGGCAGCACAGCAGGTACTAGCGCTCACCATGGGACCCCACCCGCGATCTAGGCGGGCATGCCTCCGCCACAAGGGCAGCCATTTTCTATGGCGCGCGTTGTTGGCGAAGGGCCAAAGGAAGGAGTAGAACCTGAAATAGGGAGAACACGGTAAGCAGGTGCGCAAAAGGTAGCATATAGTCACATATCATTATTCCAAGTACTCACCGGAGGCTATGACCGCACAGCTGTGGTAGATGTAATCCAGCGGCATGTACGTGAGTATACTCCTTGAGGTTACAAGATAAGCATACCTATTGCAGATTCCCCACGAGATCTGCACCATCGGCCATCCCCTCCGCCTGTGACTCAGGGAAACCCCTAAAAAGCGACGTTTGATTGGATTTCAAGCCTAAATCATTGTGACATAGAGAGGATTACTTTACTTAGCGAGGTGTGCCTGGGCATCTATGCATGGGTTGGAGGCCGTCTCTAGAGAAGGTGATGGAAGGGAGTCAAGACGCGAAATCAGGAAAGTCAAGCGCCGCCGGCTTGATATTTGAGACCTTCTGGTTGAACTCGCTTGGATATTACTAGGAAGTTAGGATGCTAACTGTAGGCGAGGACTAAGACACTCACAGTTTGCAACCTGCAATTCGGTTTGAGGTTCAGATAGACCATAATACACCATTTCATCGAGGTGATTCACAGTTTCTTGATGACGTGAGCATATGGCGGAGTCGAAACGTGGACTACCTCTTGGTATCTCAGCTATTTATGTCTATTTACATGTACCAAGGCGTTCGATCAGGTCTGCCATTCACACCCTTCAACTAGTTGGTATTCGCTGGTACTCGCTCACATACCCGCGCTTTAACCAGAAGGTCGTAAAACGCGGTGAATCTTGTCCGATTCACATCTCTGCTTCCTTCCTGTCCACCGCCTCGCCCCTCCCTCGAGGCGTTCCTACCAACCGCTATGCCTCCCAAGGCATTGCCCAAGAGCAGGCCCAAGGCCATCCCATCCATCTCGCGTGAACTCGTGCCTATAGGCCCTAGAGAAGTCTTCAAGTCAAAGCACCATGGACGCGAACGAGACGAGAACGGCAACAAACCACTTACCGCCCGCGCGCTCGTCCTCCGCAATGGCAAACACGGCGCCATGGGCACCGGAGAGCTCGTGCTTGCGACGCGGATGAGCGGACGCGAGAAGCTTGAGCTGCTCGCAGGTATGTGGTCTTGCGAGCCAAGTAGCGGTCTAGGTGACTTTCGCGAATTTGATGTCTGTAGAGGATCTCATGAAGCAAGCCATCGCGGCCCCGTTCAAGCTCGACGTGTGCTTGAGAGTTGCCGATTCGCAGCTTAGCGGTACATCCTATCCATCTCTGGCCGTATATCGTTGGGGCATTGTGTTGAACACATCAATTTGGTAGCGTACTTGGATGACATAAGCGCTCTTCAAGATCCTGAGTTCTTTTACGACAAGATCAAGGAGTATGTCGCATCGCACGTTAATCAGCGCGTGCAGGCTCTCAAGGACAAGGAAAAGAGGGGGGACCACGTCGCATCCATAGTCGCTAGTCAGTAAGTACCTACCGGCCCTGCGCTACAAGCAAGCCGCTCATCGCTCGCTGTACGCATCTAGCATTCACAACACGTATATGATGGCGTCGGGCTGGCGTGTCGTCGGCGATCTTATACGCGACCTCATCGAAGATGGTCTCGATGACACTGTCATTAAGTCTCAACTCAGATCCGAGCCGTCGATTCGATCTCGCTTCTTGGTCCTTTACGACACTGTCAATGTTCTCGTACAGGCCGGCCAGAACAATTTTGCCGTTCTTGCTACGGCTACTAGTAGGTACCCGCACAATCTGTGGCGATTTTGAAATGCTCACGCGGGTAACACCAGAACACTTCGGTCAATACTTCAACGTGGTGAAAGATCCGGTGACGAAGGAAGAAGAGTTCACGTTCGATTGGGGCTCTCTCAAAGCTGTCCACAAATCCTTTCTGGACTCGCTCATCGTCGAGTTATGCTTGCCGAACTCGCCGATACCTAAGGCTGTCTTGTACCAGCTACTCGGCGAAGCGGTGGAGGAATCGCCCAAGGATGCCAAGCAGTTCTCGCAGGCTGTTTGGGATGCCGTAGGCGATCTATCAGTTAGTGACCTTCTAAACGTAGCAAAGTACACTGCTCACCCGTCGCTCCCACAGACCATTATCGAACTCCAGTCGATGCTAGACGGTGTGCTCTCCGGACCCGAGGGCGAGAAATGGAAACAGGAGCCGCGCAGGATGCCCGAGGCGTACGAAGCATGGGTCGATGCGCAGATCTTCTCCAAGGAGGCGGCCGGGCTTTGGGAAGTATACAGTGACCTACTCTGGCCTCTGGAAAACACCAAGAAGGCCGTCCTCGATCAGTTCTGGCAGTACGTTCGGAAGGTCCGTGCGCGGTGTCCCCCTCGCCCCGCACGGGTTTTTGCTCACCGCTTCGCAGAACTACCAAAACGTTAGCGGCAAAACCCCGGACCAGCTGTGGCATATTGAGGACATCCGCAAGGTCAAGCCGATGTGGCACGGTTGGGATCCGCGCTACCGTCGCCAGAACGGCGAGGACGACCTCGCGCTCGTCCCTGGGCGTAGTAGAGGCCCTGTTGGAAAGGGTGGGAGGAAGCCGCTGGCGATCACGGACGGGAATGATAGCGATGACTCAATGCCGTCGCTGCAAACGGTTTCGGACTCGTCGGATGAGGAGGAGGAGGACTATGGGGACGACGACGACGACGACGAACCTGAAGAGGATGGTGACGAGAGCGACACCTCGGAGGGCTACGACACGGACGAGGAGGACGCGATGAGGGACTGGCTAAGAGAGGCAATGGACACCGCGGTCGCCTCGTCTGACTTTTACAATCAGGGTCCTGCCCCAGATTTCAGCGCGCTCGCGGAGGAGCGCAAGGGCAACCCATTCTTGAAGCTTCTCGGGTCCCTGAGAGGTGCGTTGCACATTGTGGGCGGGCTCGTGTACCATTCTCATGTTCGCACACATGCCATTTCAGGTCGCATGTTTTCGGCGAGTCCTACGTTGAACACTGCTACTCGCACCCAGCCCCGCAAGCCGTACACTGGGCCGAGGACGCCCGTAACTAAGGCTCAGACTGGGGCAGGGGGCGGAGGGAGCCCCTCTAAGCCTGCAACCCCGACCACGAAGCCTACCACAGGCCCCTGTAAGTCTCTATAAGCTGTGATCGACGTGCCGTGGCTAATCAGTCTCTCTTGATAGCAATTACGCGCCCGCACCAAACCACCGTGGAGGAGGTCGAAGATGAAGAGGGCCCGTCCGCCGCCGCTAAGAAGAAAAAGAAAAAGCCCAAGAAGAAGAAGAAGCCCGCCTCTACAACAGCACCTGCCAACGGCGAGGGGGCGCCATCGTCCCCGCCGACGTCGCCCACCCCTGCTCCGGCCCAAGTCGCACGCCCAGCGACCCCGCAGCGTGCCGCTACCTCCCCTCCAGCGACACCGCCAAAGAAGGGCGCAGGGAAGACGCCCAAGTCGCCCCCGGCGGCGAAGCCCACGTCCCCACGCGGGTCGTTCAGCAGCTCGACAACCACTCTTGCAGGTTTCGGGGCGTCGACGACGTCGCTTCCGCTGCCGACGGAGCAGACCGCCCAGTCTGCACGCACGTACCTGCAGAGCGAGGGCCTGACGAGCGGGAAGCAGAAGCTGAAGACGCGCGCGGCCGTCGGGAACCTGGGCAACCTCAACGGGATCCCGGAGAAGACGAAGGCCCGCTTCTTCAGCCCGTTCGCCAAGAAGGGCAAGGGCGGGGAGGTGAAGAACGCCGAGGAAGCGGACGAGGAGGAAGAGGATGACGAAAGCGGGGAGGGAGGTAAGGGCAAGAAGGGCAGTGTGTTCTCTGGCCTGAAAGGGAGGACGACGGAGTGGATGCACCAGCTGCTTCGGACGAAAGATGATAAGACTCAGGGCTTGGCAGATATGAGATGGGAAAGGTTCGTGAAGGTGCGTCGCGGGTGTGTTCTATGCTGCATTTTGGCTTTGGGGCTGAGGTGAACCGATTTGGCTGTGACCTTAGCTCATGGAGGCTATGGGCTTCACGTACGTCCCGAGCACTGCCGGCTCTCGTGTCAGGTTCGACCCCCCGAACCCGAAGGATCGCGTAAGTTTAGCTCAGTCTCCGCCCTGTATTTGCGTCGCTGACCATCTTCCCGTGTTCACAGTCCATCAGTTTCCACAAGCGTATGTTCATCAACACGTTCCGTATTGGAACTTGCTTTGTGAATGCTGACATCGCTTACGCAGCACACCCGGACCCGACGATCCATCCGATGAAGCTGAAGGACTTTGCAAAGAAATTGAAGGAATACTACGGTTGGAACGAAGAAGAGTTCCTGAGGTCGACTCAGCGCGGCGACTGAGCTTACAGAAATCTGCGACTGGTTGATGAGATGACGTTGCTGTCAAAGCTGATTGTACGAATATCAGGGCATCTGTGGTGCCCTGAACAGAACTTGTTTCCAATACCAGTATTAGGTATACCCTGCCGAATGCATATGTTACGGAATGCTCTTGTAGACAGTCACATCCGACAAGCTGAAGTGTGGCTTAACCACCACTCAGAAGTCACTAGTCATGCATCATGTTTGAGATCTCTTTGGGTAGGTTTCTTACTCGCGTTCTCGCAATTCTCGGTCTATATATCATTCGCCGAAGTACGCACCTCGAAGTTCATATAGCAGGTATAACAAGTGAGCTCTTGTACCCAGGAGTGTAGAGATTGCCTTGCGTATTGTGATGCTGACGTATTCACGGAGCAACGAATTCTTCCTCGCCTACCTGCAGTGGACGTCGCTGCTAAAGGGGCTCCTTGGCAACACCGAGGGCGTGTTCAGAGGAAGTTCGACTCCTGCATGCATGAACTCCATGTAAACCGACCTAGAAGTATAATGGCCTTCGGTCCTCTTCGTCAGATCACTCGTCCTGCTCATGTACATGGTCGTCCGCGACCCGATGCGCGTCCGTCTGCGCCTCATGCCCGCTCTCCAACGCGACACCCTTCAAGATGCTGCATACGCCCTCCTCCTTGACCGCCTCGAGCTCCCTCTGGCTCTTCACGAGCAGCAGCCCCGCGAATCCTAGCGCGTTCACGCTCAGCTCCTCCCCCGTCTCCTTGAGCACATGTGTTTCTTGGCGCCGCGGAATGATGTGGACGTGCTCGAGCGTGAGGAGGACGTTGTACGATGGTGCGCCGGCGGGGTAGGACGGGTCGTGCCGGACGGTCTGGATAGCAAGGTCGAGGAGGGAGAGGAATGCGTCTGCGAGGACGGGCTCGAGCTCGGCGGGGGAGGAGGAGGCGAGCGAGGAGGGCAGGCGGCGGACGTGGTTCGCGTAGGGGAGGGCGCTGATGCTGAAGGGCCGGCCTGCGAGTACAGAGACGGGGGTTGTTTGCGAGGAGAATGATGTTACTGAACGGTAGTTACGTACTCTCTTGCTCGAGCTTGGTACTCCTCGCGAGCGTCTCGACCGGAGGGCCGTCGTCGTCGATCGGGAGCAGCTGGATGTGCTTGTGCGGCTGGCTCGCGCCGCTCAGGTCACCGCCTGATTCACCGTACAAGTCATCAATTAGTCGATCACATTTGTCCGTATACCAGTGCTTACAGTTGTAGAACGCGAAGAGCTTCGTGCCCGCCCTCTTCGCCGCGGCGAGGAAGAGATAGGTCTGCACAAGATCGGCAGGTAATAGCGGCGACGTCTGCGACTGAAAGTCTGCGCGTCGTCAGCAGGCGTGCATCGCGCGAGGCTACGGTTAGAAGTGAGTACCTTTCGTGACGACCAAGAAATGGTGCGGCACGACGGAATACTTGTTGAACTACATCCGCGCCGCACACCCGACCATGATCATACCGCGTAGGCCATGCAACGTACGCGCGCCGCGCCAGCAACACAGGCGAAGAGTAGCAGAGGTGCATGAGGATGCACGAGAGGGCAGAGAGCGGAGAAAACAAACGTTCGCCGTCAATCCGCCGTCCGCGCGCACACGCACACTCGCAACCTACTGACCAGGATCACGTACTCGTTCCCCTCCGCCTCGTCGCGCACCTCGCCCAGGAGCAGATTCGGGTTGTATGGCGGGGCGAAAGGGTCATACCGCTTCTTCTCCTGCTGCACCGCGCTCGGGGCGTCCCCGCTGAAGTCGGGCGTCGGCAGGCGGGGCTTGTTCTGCAGCGCTGGGCACAGGCGGATCTGGAACTGTGGTGCATCGGACACGATGCCGCACGGTCGAAGGTGACCAGATGGACAGGACAGGGTGCAGAGATGTGAGCGATGAGAGGAAAGATGCGAACGCCTAAAATACTCACCTCTACGCCGTTCTCTTCATGGTGGTGAGTTGTCGAGGGGAAAAACAGCAGATCTCCCGACGACCGCGCCTTCTCGAAGCTGTCCGAAAGCTTTGCAACGATCTCCTTCTGTGCAGCCATAGAAGATTTGGACAGTGCGAGCGAACTCGGAGTCGGAGAAGGCAAGCGATGGTATTTGTGTGTGGGGATAGACGCGATACCCGTGCGTGTCCGTGTTCGTCTAGATTGGCTAGCGATCGCCCTCACGCACCCAGTAGCGAATGCGCAGCGTGTAATCAAAGGTGACCTAGTAGGCGTGCGTGGTATACGAAGGGCTCCAGATGCAGCGAGACGGGGATGGCAGAAGGTCGATGGTCCAATGGACCACATGTCCTAACGCAATCGCAGTTTCGCGGGTACCGCGGACGCCGGCACAAGCGCATTCTCCTGCCGACGCCGTGTCTCGATCGTCTCCAGCCCGTGCTGTACATAGTAACCTCAGCTGTGCGCAGTGTCATATGGAGCCTCCAGGATGTTAGGTGCGACCCGACGTGCACAGACGCAACCAAATAGCGAAGCCTTAGGCCAACGATCGCGATATACCCCTACACCTGAGGTACGAACCGCAAACAACGCAGAAGAGTTTCGCGCTTCTATAAGTGATACAACAAACAGTAGATGGCAGCACCAAATGTCCAAAAACGTCCGCAAATCCCGCAACTCGTGCGATACACTGGGATGGCTCTCCTTGCTCGTTTTTGCATGCTGTGGTTGTCCTCACGGACGTCAGACGGGTGTGTTATGTGGGCTGGCTGGGCATGCAAGTTGGAAAGCAAAGAACGACAACAGGAAGAGAAACAGGAAATAGGAATCGTAGGATGAGAGGCGTTCGGAGGGGTTCGGGAGGATATGGTGGAGGAGAGGCGGGAGGAAACGGCAAGACGGACCAGTCCGTCTGCCGCCAGTCTACTGAAAATTCTCCTCGTACCGAGAAAACCAGGAGCGCGTTCAACGCTCAGGCTTTTCCGCCGCCCCGCCCCTTGTTGTCCTTTGCGTCGGCCATCATCTCCCCCTTTACCTGCGCGCGCACGTAGCACATCGCAGCTATAAAGGAATACAACGCCGCATTTGTTCCCTGTCGCGCACACAAGCAAACAAAAAAGACGCGTGCGTCAGCTCGAAATCCACACACATACACGCTGAGTCCGCGAAGCGGCAGTACTGAAATGTGACGCACCTGATAGTATAAGATCGAGAGGAAAGTCTGCAGGAACAGCAATATGATACGTATCGGGAAGCTCCGATGTATTACCGAGCCCTTCAGGAATGGCGCGGGATAGTCGAGGGCCAAATAACCAAACGCGAGCAGCATGCTGAGGATCTGGACGATGGGCGCCTTGACAATAACAGTAATGAAGATGCTGTCACTCGCCGCGGGCCTAAATGGGAGAAGAACAAGGCAACTATCAGCAAACTGCATAATCATGGGAATCATAAAGCGCGTGCTCCCAAACACGCATCGCAGGGACGACCGGAACATGACGGGTCATTTGTACTATCTGACAAGTCTGACACGCCAGGTAACCACGCTGGGACAACTCTCCCTCAGCATGCTTGGCGTGCTTTTGCTTCAGGTTGTGGTGGGAAGGCTCGCGCCACTGGTGCGAGATAGCTGAGACGGAAAACGGGACTTACTGGACACCGCCGGGGCTGCGCACGATCCCGTGCACGAAGTCGAAGAAATACTTCCTGTACATGATGCCCCAGAAAGCGGCCCACATCGAGTCTATTGTAGTGGCGAAGGTGACATGGTTAGTAGATTGACAGGAACCCTGAGTGGCCCGTTGCGAAGGAGGGGAGGTACTCACAAGCGACCGACGTCAACGCGACGTAGCGAGCGTATTCATGCCATATCAGGTTGCCCATTGCGATCGCGTGAAGTGGAAAAGATTGCTGAGGGTTGGCTTGCTGAAGGGAAAGCGAGACTTGGACCAAGACCGGTCAGAGAACGCTAAGGGTTGGAAACGGGGGAGTGGGAGCGAGCGCTGCTCTGTTCTGAATGAAGCTGGAGAACGAGATGCACAGACTGAAGCAGGCAAGGTGAGGTGAGAAGAGCCGGTGGTCCAGCGAGCGCAGCTCGACCAAGGAGAAAGAGACTGGAGGAAGGAAGGAAGTAAAGGGGAGGCGGAAAGAAATGCACGCAGCGTTGGCCCGACCACCGTTCTCGCCCTCCGGGACTGATATAACAGCAGCAGTCAGTGACTGTCACAACCCACTGCCTTCGCCGGTAACCAAGGCACAACCCCTCGTCACGCCCACCATCCGTCAACCACCCCTAGTCCACGCTCGATCCAATTCCTACTGCTCATGATGCCCTGCTATGGCAGTAACAAGTCAACATGCTTTGTAAGCCTTGTGCCATAACTTTTCCGAAGACGAGAAACGCAGTTTATGTCGCCCAAAGACACGCCGGCATGTCCGAGGTGAGTGTGACATGGTATGACAGTCGATGATAGACAGCCAAAAAGGCGCCGTCCGAGCTGAGTTTGGGTCTTTGATCCCCACTCGATCTGATGATGCTCTCGAACCTGGTCAATCGCGTCGGCGCGTCCACGAACAGGCAGGAAGACAAACGTCAAGCGGACACAGCACGGCGTCCAGGGCTGTCGAGTAGGATGATGTGCAATTGACACGTGTGACTCCCCCTCTGCGGACCTCCTCGCGCTGGTAACAGTCCCTTTACCAGATCGCTTGCAAGTCATTCGAGGAAGGTCGAGCAATGTCGTAAATACCGCCGTAGAAGTCAACGACCGGCGTTGACCATCTCTTCCCCGAAGCGCCCATCGAGCCCGTGGCGACCGGTGACAGGAACGGTAGCAACTGCAAGATCTGGCTGGAGACTGGGCGCGATCCCGCCCTCATCAGGATTCCCACAAGTCCTCCAGAAAGATGCCAGAACGGGCGGGAAAGGCCCGTGCTGCAACGACTTCTCGCACACTGAGTCTCACGCTACAGGTCAGTCTCCAACACCAATGCCCTATATAATGTTGGCTATGTAGGCGTCCATGCAACTTGTCGAGGATTTGGGACCCATTCTCGAGAGATGCCCGGGTATACGTATGCATGCATACACGTCCCACAAGCGATATGTCGTGCCTTGCCAGATCGTAAGATGCAGCTGCTGGGCCACAGACGCGTGAACAGATGGCTAGTTGTTACAATTGACGGACATCGCGATAACAGCATACTTGCGACCACGACCGTTGGTAATCCGCTTCATTCCCTAGGCTACACAATGCCTGCCTGCAGACGACACTATGTTTACATACCGCTCAACCGCATCTCTGGGGGACGCGGCGGGCGAGTGGGAGGCTGTGGATTTGCAAACCGAGCAATGAACGGCGCTGAGCACGCACGCTTGGCAGAATACGAGTATTGCGTGACACTCACCATCTGCGAATACGCCTCCGCAACGTCGTACCCGTTCGTGTGCACGCTATCCCGCAGGACTGCCGGCTCCAGCGGCTGCGGCGTAGCGTTCCTCTCGGAGTACGGCGTCGTGCGACCCCCTGACGTGAACGACTCCTGCGAGATAGGCCGCGCCCCAGCAGTAGGGAAGAGCTTCGTGGCGAGGTATTTCTCGCGCATCGGGTTGCTGCCCTTCGTGCTACCGTTACCGTAGCCGCCAAAGAAGTACCCTGTCTGTCCCTCAGGATCCTGGAGAGGTAGGGTGGGAGAGGGTAGACCAGCCGTCATCCTCCTGCGAGCAGCCGAGGCACGACGGCGGCGCCGCAGGAGGAAGAGGACCAGGGCGACGACCAAAAGGAGAAGGATGGCAGCACCAATGGCGATACCGATGATCGCGCCGAGAGGCAGGCCCTTATGAGCTTGAGACGTCCCGGCGATCTGTCTGCACGCGATTGTAAGCAAGATTAGGGACACGACACAAGATGTTGGCTGAGGGGTCCTTACGGTGTTCTGTTGGCCTGCTCCGCCTGACTGATTGATGACCCCGGAGCACTGGTCGTGCTCGACGGTTGAGGCTGGGCGCTGGTTGGAGATGATCCGGAATCAGAAGCATTGGCATTGGGGTTCGCATTTGGTTGTGCATTGGGCTGCGCGGTGGGTTGCGTGCCCTGCTGACCGGTGGCCTGGGCATCCGTCTGTGCCGCGGAGGACTGCTGCCCATTAGGCTGAGCGTTAGGCTGAGCATTGGGCTGGGTGGAAAGCTGTCCGGTCGCAGACGGGTCAGCTGACGACGCTGTTGCGGTCTGGCTAGCGTCTTGGCCCGACACGGGAGCGTTGGGACCCCCAATGGCATGCCTGTGCCCAAACGCAATGTAAGCGGTCGGGGCGCGACGTATGGTTAGTGCGCCACGTACGGATTGGCAGAAATACGACCAGCTGTCTGGGAGCCGGCGGGAGCAGACGCCGTTTGTGTACCCGCAGGATCGCTACGTGTGAAAATAAGGAAGGAAGTCGCGCAAAAGCCAACGGATCGACGCACCCTTGCTTCCCATCCGTCGTCTCGAAGATTACAGCGTCAATGTCCACAGGCCCTCCACCCGCCGCCATGAGCACCACCGTATGCAGCCCGTCGCTCAACCCCGCCGTCCCGCCCAGTACCTGCCCGAACTCAACTGGGGATGCAGTCGCGTTCCCGAACAGCTGAACATCGTTATCGAGCATGAGGAGGTACTGCCCGTAGTTGGCCTTCTTCGTGCCATACACCCAGAAGCCTGTGCCCGTGAAGGAGAACTTGGCCGTCGCGCCCTCGACGTCGGACGAGCTATGCGTCCCGTTCACGAACCCTTGCGCATTGTTGCTGTCCGCCTGGTGGCTCCACGCGCTCGCAGGATCGTAAAGGATGAGCGGTGAAGAGTCGTCAACTTCAGATTGAGGGTGATTGGAGAAGGTCGGTCGTCAGCATCTGTCCGTCGACCCTGCGGCGCAGTGGTGAGAAGACGCACTGGTGACATTGGAAGCAGCCATCAAGGCCGACCGAGCGATTGGTCAATCGTGGGATTCGAAACCGGCCGAACACGACGAGACAACGACGTGAGAGGGTATAGACGAAACACAAACGGGCCCAGCCCGGGAAGAAACGAAGTGGAGAGTGGTCGAAGATGGAGGAGGGACTCACGAAAAGACAGCGCTCGGGCTCGCTGCAGGCGGCGCGATCACCTTGCGTGCCTATGCAGAGGCTGAGGCAACATCAGTTGCAGCCGCGCGACGGGCATTGATGGCAACATCAGGCCGATGGCGATGGCATCGCCGCCTGTGTACCTGGTTTCATGCGATAGGGTGTCGAAGGGTGTCGACTGGAACGACGAATCACGTTGCCGTCTTCAGAGGCTGCGCAAGTTGTAGATCCTTGGAAGCATCGCAGCGGATGGCGATGAGCAATGAAGTCAGGGCTGCGAATGCATGCAGTCACCATCGGTCGGGCGCGCTTAAGATGAGAATGAGCGCTACCGAGCCATGACTGAATTGCATAGCAAGTGACGGGACTGCAATTCATACAGGTTGTTAGGCCTCAATCTTTGCACTGTCGTCTACGAGAGCAATTTCTTGATGCAAAGCAGAAGCAGCCCAGAAGCTTAATCCGCCAGCCGTCAGCTCGGACACACCACATTTACCAGAAGAATTTCATTGCAAAGATTGTAGAGGATGATATACATTCATACACTCACGAGAGCATGCATCGACGAAGAAAGCAAGGCAGTTTGAGGAAGGAGGACGATGATAAAACGGTCTTCGTCATACAACACCATATTTGATACAGTACAAATAATGAGTGGGTAATGCTTCTCGTCCTGAGAGTGCCGTTCAGCCGGATTGGTAGACAGCCGGCCCTGCAACGATGTGCGGGTCCAGCTGGGTGATATTGTGCGGGGTCACATATATGTTCGAGTCGGTGATGGCGACGAACATCGTGCCGTTGATTGGAGCGCAGAGCGGCTGCACCGTCGTACCCGTGTTATTCCCAGTCACGTTGAGGGCCGTGTACGTTGTGTTCAATTGCGATATCCACGCAACATACGTCGGAGTGCCTGCAGACGTGTTGGTAGTGTATGAGCCGTTGGGCCCGACGGGTAGACCGGGGTTCTCCCACTGCAAGTTGAGGACGTAGCCAGGAGCAGACAGCGAGTTGTTGTGCCCAGATATGGCGGGGCCATCCTCGTCCAGGTTGCTCAAAGTTGAGGCGTTCGGGTTGTTCTAGAGGAGACGCGATGAGCAAAATGGGAAATGCATAGTAAGGGAGGACGTACCGTGATGTTCAAACCGGGGAAGTTCAGCCACACCAGACGAGTATTGTTCTGAGGGCAGGACGTGATATAGGGCGCAAGCAGAGTCCACGCCATGCTTTGCGAAATACTCGGCTCGGTGTCCACTGGCATCGGGAACAGGCCCTCGAACTGCCTGAGAATCAATTGCTGGCGAGACTCGGTAGCGATGGAGTCCATCAGCAAAGTCGCGCTGGCACGGGAATCAAGGTGCTGGAGAAAGCCGAGCACGCCAGACTCTCCAAACCTGGTGAGCTTTTGAGAGAAGTCGATGAAGTCGCGAACAGTGTCGAATGGGTATGAGTACTCGCATTGCTGCGCCGCAACACCTTCTGAAAAATGGGGACGTTATGGTGAGACATGGAAGTGGGAACGATGCCGCAAGTCAACCTACGACCAATAATATTGGAAAGCAACTCAGCGTGGGCAACCTCCTGATCGGCCATGAACTCGATGAGGAACCGGTCTTGCGCTGACAGGCCCGCAGCCTCAAATTCGGAGGCTGAGAATTGGGCGAGCCCATGATGGAAAAGGTCGAGCTCAATATACTCCTGATAGAGGGCCAGAGTCTGGGCGCTGGCATGTTTAGCCAGGATCAACTCAAGTGACAGACAAGAACATACCAAAGACTGGAAGTCAAAGTCTGACAAGGGGCGGTACAGGGGCGCTGTACTATTGGTGTCGAGTCCGCCTGCAGGTGTATAAGGCGACAGCCCAGCCACCGCCGTCGGGGTTGGTGCAGCAGGTGGCTGGTAAGTGACGTCTGCGGTGGGAACAGATGGCGTTATTGCTGAGACAGTTGTGGGACCGTCAGTTGGCTGCGAAGGTAGCACGGTCGATGAACCAGCGGGCGATGAGGTGGCCACCGCAGACGATATAGTAGAATTCGACGAATTCACTGACGACGTGGCCGAGGGCAGAGATGAGCTCGAGTAGTCCGTCATCGTAGAAGTGATCACGGAGATGGATGGGGTGGACGAAATCCCCGTGATCGCCTGCGGCGCCGGTGCGCCCACAGCGCGGAACACGAGAGAACACAAAGCGAGCTGGAGTGCGAGGCTGAACATGTTGCAGTGTCTAGCCTTTCAACGCGTTTCGACGGCAGGTATATATACGGCCGAATCCACCTCGCGTAGGTGCTCCAACGGCCCACAGTGCACAGTCAAGATTCAAGCGGAAAGATTTTGACTCGCGCATTGCCGACACTCGAATCTCGCGCATCGCACGAAATTTCATCGGGGGAAGAGAGGAGCTAGGTGGGGTGGCTTACACGGTTCAACTGGAGATGACGGACATAGGGGGGTCAGCGAGCCGTCATCGTTTGCGCACTAGCCCAGCCACCTCACCTGAATTCGGAGACACGTTTGCTAGGACAGGAAACCGAGAATTCCGACAAGTCGGAGCACACGATGTCAGCCTCTGCTACGTAGTGGAACCAGAAGCATCTGACATTCCGTCATGCTGCTGGAGTGGGTTGAGCCTAAGAAGTGTTGGCAAGAATGGAAGCGACTGTCTGACGATCGTCTTCCGAACCCGATCGTCTTCCGAACCCGATCGTCTTCCGAACCCGAGAGATTCCGCCTGTGGAGTGTCAGTGTCATCCCCGGATGGTGTACTAGCTATGCGTAGTAGGCGGACCGATAGGGATCAAGGTACTATTCGTGGATACCTTGTACTGTCTGCTGGGACATAGTCGAGCCGGAACGCATATAGACCACGTTTTAGATCCACAAGTAATGTCCTAGTTAGCATTAGAGTCCATTACATAGGTCAGAAGAATCAGCACGAGAACAGTGTGAGGGAGAGGGTTCATTTTGCATAATTTAGACGCCTGGGCGACTCACCGTCACGCACTTGGGTTCCGCGCACTATTGGTAAGTAGTAGTAGTACTCAGGCCAGTTCGGAGACCGGATATCAAGCTTTTCAAATTGTTCGACTACTTGATAGCCTTTGCGGGCACGACAGACGGCAAAGCCTAGAGCGCTCATGGATATTCAACACTCGCATTATCCTAATGATCGGACGTACCCCAAGCCGGAATCCAGGTTCCGCCAGCTCATGCATCGCATCTTCCGTGCCAGTCCCGGCGCCTCATGTCACCTTACTGAAACCAGGTTCGAGTCCAATCGCTCTTTCTCTCCAAAACTCAAATCTGTTCTCAACTTCGGAAGTAAGTTGGTGGGGGCGTACGCAGTTACATACCGTGCCGTGACGTTGCTGCCGTCTCTGTCGGATGAACAACTGAACAGTAAAGTTTTACAAATCTCCCTTAGGTACCTAGACAGCAAGTCAAATGAGAGGTTTGGTCCTGCCATATAGCGGAAAGCACCTGTCTTCGGTCCATACTGAGAGGGTGAGGACGTGATTCTCTGCGCCTTGCAGTAGGGTACGTGTGTATATCTCTGAGTGATGTTGGCCAATGCATGAAGGTCAAAATCAGATGTACGACTTGCGCAGTGGTGCCCGGCATGTCCGTTACCGCCATTCACCATCGCGGGGATTTCCTTCGATCCCTCAGGTTGCAGGGATGCCTCAGACTGTACTTACCTAGATCGCGACATGGCCAGAGCCACAGCTAGGTAGACTCGTTTCCTGATTATCAATCCCTCAAATCGATAGGAAGCCAGGAACAGACTCAGACGGCCTCCCGCTCATCTCACATGCACCATATATGTATGACATAGAACACGCGCGGCGCCCGGTGCGTCCTACAGTTCACGAAGCACACATCATGACAGACCAGCTGCGCTGTGACATACGTGATCGGCTCCCGTCGATAGGACACGGACCTTCAGCGAAGGTCTTGGCAGCAAAGTGACTTGCCGGGAGAAGGAAACGGTCTATTCCAGATGGTCACTGTGGTTTGTCACCTACCTCATCATCTGCATCAGCGATGTCTCAAGTTCTGCAGGCGGCACGCTCGGCCTCCTTCAGCAAATTGGGACTAAGTAGGTCTGGGTGCACAAATCCTCAAGGGATGTGAACAGAAATCGGCACGAACAGCAGACACCTCGGGCCGGCAGTGCCGGCAAGGTCAATGACTCCTTATAGAGCGGCAAACAGGATCAGCGATCTCGTCGCGGCTGTGCAAGGCCCCTCTCCTTCTCCGCGTTGATATGTAAGCACGACTCACTATCTTCAGCTATGAGAAGGATGTTGACTTACATGATGTCGGGATGACTCTAAACTGAGCAACAACAACTGTAGGGAAATGTCGTGGTGCATGTAGACAACGGCAGCCTCCGAATCCACCGAGGGCTGGATACGAACTGCGGGTAACTGCCCTGATCACAAATATGGCAACACTAGCGACTCGTTACCATTCTCAGCAGTAGCACTGAATGTCGGCAGCCGACGGAGGACGCAGCTGCTGATAGTCTCTGCCCCCGCGTGATCTGTGCATGCTGCGATAGTGCTGGTTCGCTCTCACGTCTTACGCATTTCGGCTTGCATTACGACCTGATCCACGACATCGTCCACATCTTGCCTCCACCGTCTCGGAAGGCAGATCGATTTACTTTCTGCTGATAGTCCAGTGTCTTGATTTCTAAATGTTTCGCATAAGCTCGCTACGGTGTTCAAGACCTCTCTCAGTCAGCAAGGACGTATCACGTTTTCATGCGTGTATGTCTCTTAGGCTCTTGCAACGCCATAGCTTGTATAAATATTCGGTACGCCTGTCGTCCAGTCCCCCATTGTCTCCTCTCGATAACTGACCCCTATTCCTGACACAAGCAACTGTCTAGTACTAGAGAGATGTCGTCTACTAGCAGCTCCACCCCCGCGCTCTTCTCTCCTATTCAGGTCGGCGATCTGAAGCTCGCGCACCGTGTCGTCCTCGCACCGCTCACTCGCTTTCGCAACGACGACGCACACATCCCGACAGACCTCGGCGTAGAGTACTACTCACAACGCGCCTCCGTCCCTGGCACTCTTCTCATCACCGAGGCCACCTTCATATCTCCTGAGGCCTCCGGTTTGCCCAACGCACCCGGGATCTGGAGCAACGCACAGGTTGCTGCATGGAAGAAGGTATACCATTCTCAATCTCCTGTCGGTTATTACAAGTAGCGGCTGTTGCTGATTTACTTCGCTAGATCGTCGATGCTGTCCACGCGAAGGGTTCGTACATCTACCTTCAGTTGTGGGCTGTGGGCCGCACGGCTCGGCCGGCCGTTCTCCACGAAGAGTTCCCCGATGTGCCATTCGCCGCGCCATCTCCGATCGCGCTCAGTACTCAGCCCGAAGCGGTTCCCCGGGAGCTGACCAAGGAAGGTACGCAATGCTCAGATACCAGGACTATACAGTACAGAAGCTCACGCCTCCGTTGCGTACAGAGATCAAGAAGTTCGTGCAGCAGCACGCGGTCGCCGCCAAGAATGCGGTCGAGGGCGCAGGCTTTGATGGGGTCGAAGTGCACGGCGCGAACGGCTACCTCGTCGATCAATTCCTCCAGGACGTCTCCAACAAGCGTACTGACGAGTACGGAGGCTCCCTCGAGAACCGCGCTAGATTCGGCCTCGAAGTCATCGACGCCGTTGTCAAGGCCGTCGGGGCGACCAAGTCCGCTATTCGACTGAGCCCTTGGTCGACGTACCAGGACATGCATATCGACGACCCCATCCCGCAGTTCACGTACTTCGTCGAGCAGCTCAAGCAGCGCCATCCGCAGTTGGCCTTCGTTCATGTTGCTTCTCCGAAGATTCCAGGCAGCATTGGACCCAAGGATGAGTCGGTGCGTTTTCCTTCTTGTTCGACGAGTGTAGCCATCGCTCATCAGTTTGGTGACGTATAGCAAGTAGACTTTATCCACAAAATCTGGGCACCGGGTGCCGTGATCACCACGGGCGGGTACGATCGCGAGTCTGGCATCAAGGCCGCTGAAGAGACAGGGCAACTCATTGGCTATGGCACAAAGTTCCTCGCGAACGTATGTCCCTACACTATGTTTGCTTCCGTGCTGTCTTCTGATTAAAACTCCCATACAGCCTGATTTGCCGTTCCGCTTGCGTGAGAATTTACCTCTTAACCCGCCTGATTTTGAGACGTTCTATACGCGCTTGTCGCCCAAGGGTTATATCGACTATCCGTTCTCGGAGGAATTCCTGAAGTCGCAGCTTTGACTCCTAGGTTGATAGGAGACTGTAGCTATTGAGCAGGTGTATATCGTGTATCCAAAGTGATATCTACACATATGTGCGCATCCATACTGTCGAAGTTTCCATTCATCTCTGTACCTGCAGACGTGACTCGGATATTCTCGGAGCGCCGGAGTTTTGGCTATCTCAAGATCGGCAAGATAGTGTTAGCCGGGCATGGTTTGACGCGCGTCTACGTTGCCTGTTCCGAATCATGACACTTAGTGCGACCGCGGCCACATGTCTTAATTTCTCGACGTCTCTGTTGTGCTGTCTTCACATTGCCTTGCTCACTACCTGCATTTCTTCTGCTGCGATAAGCTCTTTGGACATCCACACGCGTACTTAGGACCGGCGCTATATAGCGGCTTCTATCTGGCCGTCTGTCTATTGTTATTGTCGAGGAGCAAGTACGTGCGCGCACGCGCTGATCTGCGGGCTACTCAAGTGACGGAGATTCCTGATGGCTTGAGCATCGATATGCAGCAGCCTATGACATTGGTATCATATGCCCCTCGTTCATGAACAAATACTCTCATATGTAGCATCGGCAGAGCTACGGCTCCGGCATCTTTGCGCCCATCGTCGACAGAGGGTAATCAGTAGAGCACAGAAACCACGCGCTTTCGGGACGCTGCTCGTATGTCTCTTGTGTTTGCTCGGCACGGACTGGGGATATGGTACGTCAAGCGACTCTGCCCGTGCCTGCCGCGGAGAGCCTGATGACCGGTCACATGGAACGCCAGCGTGCATCTTCCATCCGGGATTACCAATGGAGAGTCAGTTGTTCTCTGCCGGTTTGGCCTACGCGGGATCACTACCGGTGACGATGCTCGGTAGGCTACCGTCCAAGGCCACCTCAAGAAGGTAGACTAATCTACTTGAGCGGCCAAGTGAGGAACTTGGCAAGTATGGATATGCCGATCCCCCGCTGCATTGTCTGGAGCTATCGTGTCGCCGTCATAACCATATTTTTGTACCTCTCACGGTGACCCCACGAGACTCATTCACTTGTACGTTAGTGGGAAACCAGTCCGGTGAGTGTTCACGGCAACAGCTCCCGTGAATTGTGTTCTGACTACATCGCCCATCCAGACATGAGCGGATTGCGCACGTCCGGGTCCGGCGGCCTCTGCCTGCCGTACCGAGATTTAAGCGTTTCGATCAGCGTATGTTCCAATTATACATGCTGCCTCGATGAAATTTTGATTAGCTCAAGCTCGATCTGTGTGGGGTACCTGACTTCAGATACTACCAGTACAGCGGGGTTGGCGACCTTGAGGCAACCATTAAACCAAGTGGGCTGATACCGATCACTGCTCATATCCGAAGGTGGACGTCGACGACACGAATAGGCGGAGCTACCCATTTGGATAGAATTCCCCGACGACACAGCAAGGTTTCCCTTCGCGAGAATAACCCTAAAGGATCGATACAGGTGGTGCTGAGCTTTAAATGTGCGTGTACGCCTTCGTCCGCGGCTGATCCCCCAACTCACTATGGGCTCTCGTCAGTTTTTCTGCCACGTCCCCGCCTTTCGGGGCTTTGTGCACCCGCGAAGTGTTCGCGAAGTCTGGTGAGCAATGTGTGCTGGCGGCTCGAAGCCAAGACCTTCGCATTTCGAGGACAAGGTACCGAGAGCACCTGGTCATGTGTTGATGCCGCCTGGCGAGTACTTTTGACCAAGCTCTACAAATCTTCACGCTTACTGGTTCCATTCGGCGGCTCTCGTTCCTCTTAGAGGCTCCTTCCACGCAGGCCTGGTCTTCTGCTCGACGGAAACTAATGCTTAAGAAGTCTGCCACATCATATACACCACTCTGTCACATGCCCACGTGCAAGGCGGAGCGCGCAAGCAGCGCGCGACCTTACACATGCGAAATCAGGCGGGGACGCACATCTTGTGCACAAGCCGTCATGCGGTCGAGAACCTGGTGGCCCGTTGGTTAAGTTGCCCCTGCTCGCTTCCTAAAGCGCCTGGACCTACCCAGGACCGTTAACAGATGACTACCATCCACTCAGGTCGAGTTTAGGATATGTCATGCTAGCTCGGTTTCTCCGGGTGGGGGCACATGAAGAAAGGTACTCGTTTCCTATCTCTGGCACGTCTCCGTATGGTGCTGAGGTTTCTGACATCTCCCACAGAGGATGTATAAAGAGCTCACGATGCCTACGAGGCTGCAGCCACTCGCCCGAGTCCTCCCAGCGCCACCGTTCCACACGGTTCTCCTTCGAGATGCGCCTACCATCCCTATATACCTCCTTCTTTCCCCTGCTTACGCTTCTCGGGCTGAGCACTCTAGTGTCTGCATTGGGCACATCGTGCTCTGCGCCAGTGACTAGCGGTACTGCTGCCGCTAGTGCGCCGTTCTGGTTGGAACAAATCCAGCACCAAGGCTCTGCGCCCTTCAACCCGAATCCCAGTGGCTACCAGGTCTTCCGCAACGTCAAGGTATCTCATTCTTCTCTCACAGGCTCCTCACCAGCGGGGGTTAAATACCTTTTTAGAACTTCGGAGCTAAAGGTGACGGTGTCACCGATGACACCGCGGCGATCAAGTACGGGATCTCTCGTCATTCCTGGTTACGTACCTCCCATTCAATTCGTTCATAGTGCTGCCATCTCGTCCGGGAATCGTTGCGGAAACGGCTGTGGCCAGTCTTCGTATGCCTTCCGTCTGGTTCTTCGGGGAGATTCTTTCTCACCACTGTCATCCAGCGTATCGCCGGCGGTTGTCTACTTTCCAGCAGGGTAAAGTGGTCATCCAGTGCTGGATCCGTAGCTCTATTAAGTGTCTTTTGTAGAACCTATCTCGTCTCATCGCCTGTCATCTCCTATTACTACACTCAGCTTATTGGAGATGCTAAGCATGTGCCCACTATCATCGCCTCGGCCAACTTCCAGGGCATTGCCATCATCGGTATGCAGTCCCGCTCCTTTGTCTGTTGCAGCCATTAAACTGGCTTTGCAGATGCAGACCCTGGCTGGTATGTCAACCAGAACAACTTGTGAGTCCTTTAGGAGAATATTCCCGCGGTTGATATCTCATGGAGATGCAGCTACCACTCCATCCGGAACTTCATCCTCGACACGTCGCGCATACCGGCTTCCACGTCCGGCACGGGCATTCACTGGCAAGTGTCGCAGGCCACGTCCCTGATTAACATCGTCTTCCAGATGTCTACTGCCGCAGGCAATGCTCACCAAGGTCCGTCTCGGTCCGGAGATCGATTTTTCGCTGGTCAGCCGAGACATATCACTGATGAACTCCCCACAGGTATCTGGATGGAGAACGGAAGGTAGAGCATAGCTCTTTCACTCGCAATGACGCGTGATGTGCTAACACGATGATATTAGTGGCGGTTACATGGGTGGTAAGTCTAAACACCACGGTGCCAAGCCTGGAGCATGAATTCTTTTGTTCCTTCCACAGATCTCGTATTCAATGGCGGCAAATTCGGCATGTGGGTCGGGAACCAACAGTAAGCACTTCGTTTTGCTTGTCTCTCAGATGTTGACCAGTGACATAGATTCACTGTGCGCAATATCACTATCAACAACGCCCAGATTGGTATGCTGGCCTGCTTTTACTTGAGCGAACATTGCTAATATAGTCGCATTATAGGTGTAAGTATCACTACCCACGACTAAGACTGGCCCCAGTCTCATGCGAAGTAGGTGTTCGGATTGTGGAACTGGGGATGGACCTTCCAAGGTACATTGTTCCGATCACTTTGTGGATATGACGACGCCCTCAACGTTATTCTTAGGCGTCACCATCAACAACTGCCAGATCGGCTTCCAGCTGACGACTGGCGGTACGACGCAAGACAACCAGGGCGTAGGCGGTGAGGCGATCATCGACGTCGTCGCTACCAACACGCCCACCTTCGTCCAGTTCACCCAGCCCAGCGATGGCAGCCTGCACGGCGCACTCGTGCTCAACAACATCAAGCTCAACAACGTTCCGACCGCCGTCGGCGTCGCTAACGGGGCCACCCTCCTCTCCGGGGGCACGACCACAATAAATTCGTGGGCGCAGGGTAACGTCTACACGGGCACGAACTCTGGTGGCCAGTTTATTCAGTCTGGCATCAACGCAATCAGCAAGGATGGCAGCTTGTTGGACTCGGCGGGCAGGATCTTCGGGAAGACGCACCCTCAGTACGCGAACTATGCGCCTGACCAGTTCATCAGCGTGAAATCGCAGGGCGCGAAGGGTGATGGTCAGACGGATGATACTGCTGCGATCCAGAATGTCTTGAATCAGGTTTGTGTGTTCCAAGATCGTAATCTTCGTGTTTGATTCATCGTGGCTGGGCCTCTGTAGTTCTCAGGGTGCAAGATCATCTTCTTCGATGCGGGTGTCTATGTCGTCACGAACACCATCACCATCCCGGCGGGTACTCAAATCGTGGGGGAGGCCTGGTCCACCATCCTGGGGAGCGGTAGTGCGTTCACGGACTACAACAATCGTGAGTTGAAGTCGCTTCGATCTCGTTCATCTTGAAGGTATTGACATCAGTCTTAGCTCGTCCTGTCATCCAGGCCGGCACCGCCGGCTCTACTGGTGTTCTCGAGATCACCGATATGATCTTCTCGACTCGCGGTCCCGGTCGGTGCATCGGCTGTCAGAACTAGAACCTCCACTCACCCGTGGGCCCTTCGCAGCTGCTGGGGCCGTCGTTGTCGAGTGGAACGTTCACGATCCCGCAGGTCAGCAGGGCGCTGCTGGTACCTGGGACACGCACATCATCCTTGGTGGAAGTACGTATCTGGATTGACGCCCCATCTGACATGTCCACTAACAGTGATGATGCGCAGAGGATGGGACGAACCTCCAGGCTAGTCAGTGCCCGACGTCGACGAGCACCGGGAACAACAACTGCTTCGCAGCGTTCTTGGGTCTCCACCTCACTGCCCAGTCGAGCGCATATCTCGAGGTCAGCTTCCGGCAACTTGGCCATGGTTTTTGTATGTTAACTTTGTGCCATGTAGGGTCTGTGGGTGTGGACGGCCGACCATGATCTTGACTCCGGTCCGCAGCTGAACCTTTGGACTGGCCGCGGAATCATGTCCGAGTCACAGGGCCCTGTCTGGTTGATTGGCACGGCCAGTGAGCGGACACGTTTAACAGGGACGTCGCACGTTGCTAAAGGGTTTGGCAGGCGAACACGCCATCATCTACCAGTACTACCTCAACAACGCCAAGAACCACTACATGGGCCTGATCCAAACCGAGACGGTGCGTCCAAACGACTCCATTGACGTCCTGTGCACCGTCTGTGACCAATGATGTCATCTCTTGCAGCCATACTTCCAGCCTAACCCGGTCCCGCCTGCACCATTCATCACCAACACGGCGTATAAGGACCCAGCCTTCGGACCGGGTGCTGCTTGGGCACTCACCGTTACCAACTCTCAAAACATCCTCGTCTACGGTACGTCCTCCGATGCACCGATCGTCGTCTCACACACTGAATTCCTGACGTCTTGTCTCCAGGCGCCGGCTTGTACAGCTTCTTCCAGGTGAGCTCTATGCGCTCCGTTGTTCCGAGCCGGTGACCGTGATTGACCGGCTGGCTACTTCTCCCTCCCCGAATGCGGTATGCACGCAGAACTACGGCCAGGACTGCTTGAACACGTTCAACTGCCAACAGCAGATCGTCAACGTCGACTCGAGCTCGTCGATCGCTATCTACCTCCTGTCCACCGTGGCGAGCCAGTATCAGATCAGCGTCAACTCGCAAGGCATCGTCCCGAACTCGGCGAACAGGAACGGGTTCGCACAGACGCTCACCTCGTGGACCCGGACATAGCGATGGACGCCGGGTCATAGGGTATGCCGTGGCATCGTGTCACCTCGCCCGTTCACCACAAGGCTTGATGGTGGAGGTGACACGGGGGGTCAGAACGGAAAATGTGGGTCGCGGGTTGCAGGGTCTCAACGGAGCGCTAACAGTCGCTCGACCTCGATCGAGGGTGATCGAAGGTTCCTTCTTTTGTATGTTCTTTGCATTCTTTCGCTCTCAGGGTTCTTTACGTCCTTTCATGAAATAGTTTCACGGGTTTCTCGTTCACGGCAGCTTACGGTCCCACCGCCCTCAAAGATACGTGCGTGGACGTGTGTCCACCGGGTGTATATGTAATGTATATGTATGAAGCCTTTTCACAGCCGCATTTTCTCCCTCTGCTTTGTTTGATGGCTTTACGCTTGACCATGAGGACACCTCAGGATCGACACGGCAAGCCTCGGCGCGCGCAGTTAGTTTGAGTTTGTTCCGTATAGTGGACTTGGCGACAGCAACACGCTCCTCCGCATGAGGCGCGGAACTTCGGGCACTCCGGCTTGTCGCGCACTGAGCTCGGGCGAGTCAATATTCACGGTCGACAGACAGATGATAGTCTCGTGACATTCATGAGACTTGTGATAAACGTCCGAGTCAGGATGAGTACCATGCACCGCCGTCGTCATGAACTGCCTTGTGAGTCGACCGGTGAACAGCTTGCAGTCTACGTACTAGTGTGACCCCAGAAGCTACGGATTAAGCGCCTGACCCCAGAAGCTACTGACACGCCTCCAGTTCTCGCATTTCCCTGTCAAAAAGTGTGCACGGGTTACACGCGAGAAGACGTACTTCAAAAATATCATTGTAAAAAACAAAGAAGGAAATCGGAAGGGATTTGCTCCCGATACAAGTCAATCTCAGTAGGGTTTCAAGGGTTTACTGACCTTGGTGAGCTGCCACAAAAAGATCTGCAGCGCCGATCTTTCTGTAACTTCGCAAAGTGTTCTGAACATTCTCAATAAACTTTCTTGTTCAGTCTCCGAAGGGTTCCGGGTTGCAGTATTCGAAAGATAGGAAGAGGTCTCTCGAGCGTGACATTCAGCCACTGACCGAGATAAAGCTGACTTTCAATCTGAGCGCTTCGACAATGTTGCCCCGGCCAACTTCGCTATCAAACGACTGATAACAGCGGTGTTTGAATCGGCAGTCTTCGGCATTGTGACCATCCATGACAATCTATGGGCGCTTTTCCGTAGCTTCTGGGGTCAGACGTGTAATTCCGCGATGCTCAATGCAAACCTCCACCAATTTTCTTCATATTTCACCCATATGTACTGTCCAGGATGCAAGTGAAGTGTGCGAAGTCTGAAATGTATTGGAGAGGAAGGGAGGGAGATATCCATGAAATACGTTATGGGTCGTAGCTTCTGGGGTCATGCTAGTACGTCGTGCGAATGCGTCAGTCAAACGAAGGATACGTGGAATCAAAGATACATCTCGCCAAGCAAATGTCACCAAAGGAAGGACGAGCATGCCTCGGCCCTCCTGTGCTTTTATTACGATCGTGCCGCATCTCCTGCCGCGGAGCGACATCTGGATATCGCGATTCTATGATTCGCCACGAGATTCAGTGCTGTTGGTCAATAAGACAAAAGAGGAAGACGCCTCGTTGAATGTTGCCACAACGAATCGAAGCAGTCAGAGCGATCGCGAGCGGAACGCTCATGTTGTGGGACGGCTGTCTTGCGCACGATTTCGAATCGTGCGACAGGCCGAGGGATGGCCGCGCTGTGTGTTCCAATCTGAGCTGGCGTCTGTCCACTCCAGAGCGACGTAGCTGCTCATGGCCTGGAACTTGTGCGTTCAATTTGCCATAGAGATAGCGCGGATGGCGTCCAATAGGTGGGCTCTGGAAACGACTGGTCTGGCTTCCATTGCGCAAGAAGCCTGAGGGGGTAGATAGAGAGCTTCGGGGTGTTTCCCGTGCTGCCTAGGTTCTCGGATGAAGGAGCGCGCGCAGATCCGCCGGATGTAGCGGAAGAGCTCAGGTTCAGGAAGCAGGTCGACAGCCCGGGAATGATAGCCCTTCGTGGCAGCGAGAGACCGGTGCCTTGTGCGATGCGGACAAAGGATATGGATATGGGGCCGAGGGGGCAGGAGGCAGGAGCAGGCCATCGATGTCTCCGGTGCGGGGCTTGGGCGTGAGTGGCGGGGCGCCCGTGGGAATCCCCCTGCTTTATAAGATTCCGGGCAATTTTGCGTCTCCGTCAAGGACCCCATCCTTCTCCCCAGCTGCCCCCCTCGCCTCACGCAACACACAACCCTCTTGCGGTTAACTGCTCAATCTATATGAGATTCTCCCCTGTCTGGTGCGTTCTCTCCGCATGTTCATTTCGCGAGCCGGTCTAACACTCGTCGCCTATAGCGCCCTACATCAGACGACCAACATTCCTGGGCACCTTGGACTTCCTCTCGTCGACACAGATCGCCCTCCTTAGTACCACCTGCTCTACCCGCAACCCTCTGGCATAACTCTGCTCTTCCCTATGGGCTAAATTCGTCTATATTTGGTATCGGATCCAGGTCGCCTGCTCCGTCGTAACAAGAAAACCTCAACTCCTCCAGCACGCATACAGATAGATACATAGACCTGCAGCACTCATCTTCCGCTGTATAACACACCCCGCACACACGCCAACTCGCGACCTTTGATCTCGCCACTATACACAATGTACGCTCTCAAGCCGACGTCTTTCTTCCGCCCATCCAGCCGCCCCACTTCTCCTGTTCCCGCACCTCGCCAGGAGGTCCCAGTGGTTGGTGACCGGGCTGCACGTCCCTTGTCCAAGCTATCTTTGTCCACATTCCGCAAGCCATCCCCTTCCCCCGTCTCACTGCCCGCCGGGGCAGCGGCACCGTCTACGGTCGTTCAGGATGGCTCCTTTATGGAAGTCCTCAGCCTAAAGCTGAGCGAGGCTGTCTCCAGGGCCCTCGCTCAGCCTACCGGTCCCGCAGCACCCGGAGAGCTGCTTGCGGGCAGGCGGCCGATACCCTCCGGACGCGGGCGCGCTCTTGGCGCCCTCATTGTTTCGTACGTAGCGTCCATCACACCGCTCTACGTCCCCCATCTGACGTGATGGAAACACAGTGAAATCAACGCCTCCCGGGAGAACCCCCACGTATACCGCGCGGTCATACGGACCCTGCAGCGGCCGCTTTCTGTGCTCTCCACCAACCTCTCTAGCAACCTCGTGTCTCTCATCTCCTCACCGGCCTTCGGCAGCCCTGCAGCCCCCACTCCTCAGAACCCCGAGCTCAACGCCACTCAACTCCATGCGGTCTCCCTTGCCACCTTCGCAGGCGAGTTATTGGAGTCATTCGATGAGATTGGTCTTGGATTTGAAGTGGACACCAGAGGTGAGAGTCTCAGGAGCATTCGGGAAGGGCTGGTCTCCATCGTCAAGCGTGTCGTGGATCCCCTCATTGCGGGCATCAAGCATGAGCTTCTCCCCATCCTCGACGCCCTGGAGACTGCCCCTTCGCCTCCGGTGGGTCCCACTAGTTCTGCGGGGAAGTCGTCAGGAGGAATCAAGTCTCCGGTGCCCCATCCTGCGATTATGACTCTGCAAGCCACGATACCCATTCATGCGCGTGCGCTGTCGCGCATCGTGGCTTCGGCGTACGCGGAGAACGCTCTGGCTTCCCTCGTCATCTCGCTCATCTGGCGCGGGATGGTGGCCCTCGCTCACCGTCCCACTCTGTTGCCGTCTCCGCCATCCTCGCCTTCTATGGGTACAATCGCTCTTCTGAAGTCGAAGGACTCGAAGAAGACTCTTGGTGGTCAGACTCCCGCTAGTCCCCCAGCAACGCCTCCTGCGAGTCGCTTCACGCTTAAGCTGCCGCCTTCTCGCCCTCCATCGCCGCCATCGGTCATCTCACGGGGACCGACGGTGGCTGCCGACGCGCGCACACTCTATAATCTTCTCAACCAGCTCCCGAAGCCGTCCCTCAGCAAGGAGCAGACCCGCCTCGCACGTGAGGTCGTCGACGAGGCCTTCGATGGCCTCAGCGCGTTCATCGCGCTCCTTGAGTCCATACAAGTGCATACCCCGCCCGTACGCTCCAGTTCAGGCACTGGCAGTGCGAACACGAGCCCGAAGGTGACTCCCCTCGCGGACCTCGAGGCGGACCTCGACCTACTCACAGCCGACATCCCGATTGTGATCGCGCTTCCGCTCCTCCTTCGGACGTACTTGCCTGGGGAGCGTTCGGTCCCTGCGATCCTTGGGCTGGGCGAGGTAGAGTACCGGAAGAACTGCCTCAGTGGGTTTGGGCGTGCGGAGGAGTGCGGAGTCGCGGTGGGCCAGCGTGTACTGGACGTCCTCCGCGCGCAGGGTTCGGGGGGCGCAGACGCAGAGCCGCTGTTGAAGTGGTTGGAGAGAGAGCTGAAGACGGCGAGGGCGGAGAGGGACGAGGGAGATGTGGTGATGCACGGGCATTGACTATATGGCTGTGGGCTTCATGCTTTGGGCTCAATATCTGGGCGTGCGTGCCGTTCGCTCCAGGGTTTTCGTGGATCTAGTTTTGAGTGCGTTCGGAGATGTGATATGTGGACGTGGACGTATTATTTCGATGACAATATCATTATTTGTGCCATCTGTTCAAGCAGTGTAGCCTCGTTGGTGTTCAAAGTCGCACCTTCTCGCAGGTCTCACCAAATGGAGTAACCAGCGGACACGAAAACATAGAATAGGATTCATTCCGCGAGCACGCACTAACATTTGAAAGTAGGAGCGCAGGGAAGCAAGCAATTTAGACGCCATAAGAGCGCTGTGCATTCCACATAGGGAATGCGGGAATTGCCGTGAAGAGCTGTATAGTTGTTCCCAAGCCACCGACCGGGCTGCAGCTCGTACTAGGAATTATAGAGCTCACCGACGACACCGACGACAGCGACAAGACCCACGCTGCATTCAAGATGGTCCGTCTCCTTAACTCTGTTGATCCTTTTACTGTTGGCTCAACTCTGCTGGAAAATGTAGGCCGAACAAAAGACGACCCCTACGAATCCCATGAAGGAGCTTCGCATCGACAAGCTCGTCATTAGTGCGTCTCCTTCCCTCGAATCCCTACATTATCTTCAATTCTCTAAACGTCCGCTTGTCCTCCCAACCCTGTTCTGCTACACAACATAGACATCTCCGTCGGTGAATCTGGCGATCGTCTCACGCGGGCGTCGAAAGTCCTCGAGCAGCTCACCGGTCAGACCCCCGTCACCTCCAAGGCGCGATACACCGTCCGCCAGTTCGGCATCCGTCGTAACGAGAAGATCGCCGCGCACGTAACCATCCGCGGGCCGAAGGCGGAGGAGATCCTCGAGCGCGGCCTGAAGGTCAAGGAGTACGAGCTCAAGCGCGGGAACTTCTCCGAGACCGGCAACTTCGGGTTCGGCATCCAGGAGCACATCGATCTCGGTGCGCGGTACGACCCGACGATTGGTATCTTCGGCATGGACTTTTACGTCGTCATGGGCCGTCCTGGGGCGCGGGTGGCGAGGAGGAAGCAGAAGAAGGCGCGGGTGGGCTTTTCGCACCGTATCAAGAAGGAGGATACGATGGGCTGGTTCAAGCAGCGTTTCGATGGTATCATCTTGGTGCGTCTCGTACATTGCTGTGTTGACATGGAGGGGCGAGCTGATCGCGGGTTTTGTGGTGGATTAGGCGAAGTAGAGGTCTTGTATCATCAATTTCATGCTGTCGTATTCCTTGCTATGACCCTATTGCACGCCATGTATCTTCACATGCACCCAAAAGCACACTACCATCGCTTTTTTCCACGGGATATCTCGAGCCTGCCTCGGTAATTCCGGCTGGATTGTCTTCAAGCGTGAGTCGGAGTAGGCGTCGTACAAATAGTAGCGGCCGAGTTAGGACACCATGGAGTGGGTTCGCCCGCGTCCACGAACATGTCACTGTCCATCTAATGTTTGGCTGCGGGCGACGCTTGTGCGTCCAGGGCTGCGCTTTGCATTCGCGTCAGTGTCCGAGACGTTCCGGTGACTGCGCGCACATTCGCCTGGTGCATATACGCTGCTTGTATCCGACCATCATGACTCTTCTGCCACCTAGAAAGGCCTTTGATTGAGTAAGTGAGGAAGTCTGCGACGATGCGAAGACCCTCTACAGTTTTTCGTTCACATCCCGTCAGCTCTGTTATCATAGTTTCTCACTTATGATGTTAGGTCACTCATGAAAACAGGGTCAGTGTCCTTGCGACTACGTTGACGGCAATCCTTACAATTCTCCTGTTCGCTTCTAGTACCCCCAACATAGCTTACACCTCGCGCGCCTCACACCCATTTTTCCGGGCAACACAATACCTACACTCTATCCCCCGAATATGTCTCCTTTCATAGATGTTCATATTTTATTCGATTTATAACTTCTTTCTGAAAATGACCTGAATAGCTTGTCATGATATTATGCTCAGATCAGCGACAATGAGCACACCTATCATGAACACGTTAACAGCCAAACTATCCGAACAACATCAATTGGAGGCTATGAATGTGAGTATTGGTCCATACTGTAGGTCTTGCATGCTCAAGGAGTCGGACTGACGACCTCTCCCTCCCAGATTCGTTCCTGCATAGATGAGCATGCGGCTACATTGCTGCTAGAGTCTACTCGATCTACTGTGCAAACTCTGATCTGGAATGTCAACAATGCACGTGTTCCATCTAGGACATACATTCAAGTACTAATATCACTCTTAGATGTTCCGTCCGCATTCATGCAGCCATACGATAGGTACGGTCTACAATCACTGGCACTAGGGTTACCGCTCGTTGACCACACCACCATCCACAGAATTACGAAGCTCTTGGCACCATTCCGTCCCCCGAATTTGGAGGCGGTTGTGGTACACTTCCTTTCCGTCCGTAGGGACCACAATTACGACTTGTACCGAAGCGACACCGGGCGAAGGGCGTGCCTGGAGTTGGAGCGTGCTCTGATCAAATATTGTCGACAGGGATTGTCTTGTATGATGCAATCACGGTCTGATGACAGACCGTGCCTCTGTTTCTGGATGCTTGCCAAAGTCGTTTCTACATTGGGCCGTCACGGTAAACTCACCGTCTCCTGTGACTCCTGTAAGCCTGAGCCATGTTGTATTATCCATGGGCAAGGACCGCTGACCACCTCCCTATGTAGCAATAACTTCTGGACATGACAAGTCTGTAACAGTTCCTTGGACAGCGAGTGGATCGCGACTGGCTCAGATGTCAACGCCATCATCCTCTGGGACGCAAATGGACGAGTATGTCATGAAAGGGTAGCCCATGGGGGCCGTGTCAACTCGCTTGCTTTCTCCCCGGACAACCAGCATCTTGCGTCCACTGGCGAGGATTATCAGGGGGCTGTCTGGAATTTGGGCCAAGGACACTCACTGTTGCGCATGGTCTCCATATGGCGCGACTATTGCATCTGTGTCCGGTGCCGGGACTCTACAACTCTGGGGGCGAAAAACACCCGTCAGCCCCGTGTGCTGAGGAGCTCGCATCGCCAGTATGGCTCGCCTCCAGAGGTTGCGATAACTTCTGTTGCGTCAGGCAGGCTGCACAAGACTCTTCGCGGACATACCGATCAGCTAGAAGCCATCGCATTCAACCCTGACAGTACGCGCCTCGCCACCGCGTCCAACGACCATACAGTGCGGGTTTGGGATGTGCAGACCGGAGCGTCGCACGTCGTCTTGCAGCAGCACTTGAAGGGGGTGGAGGATGCCACCTTCTCACCAGATGGGAAGCTCCTGCTATCTGCGTCGTCTGACAAGACGATCAAGATCTGAGACACATCAAGCGGTGTCCTGGTCTCGTTGCTAGAAGGTCATGGACATATCGTTAGTCGTCTGGAGCCAAGGATGGGACTGTCACCATATTAGACGAATGTCCGACATTATTTCAGCAGATCGTTTATAGAAGTGGTAGAGCACAATGCGTAAGTCGCCCTCCGATAGTATCTCAATTGACATGTTCCAATGTTCCAATGCACACCTCTAGGCATTATAGTCGTTGCATCCGGCGTATAGCGTCATCCAATGTGCACAAGGCCCTTCGCGGGGATAGGTGGTTCCATGCCGGTTCGGGTGCGGCACGTAGCTTGCTCTCCGGATAAGAAGATACGGAACTGTCCTCATTAGACAAATCACCCGCATTACTTCGGCAGACCTGTCGAAGTCGTAGAGTACAAAGATGTCATCTTACATATGTCGCCCTCCAGTACTCCAAATGTCTCGTGCTGTACCGAGCAATCCTGAATCGGAGCTTCTAATCACCAATAGCAGACGTCATGTAGCGCACGCGTACGGACAACAGAGCGACTTCCTTCAACTCGAATGTGCACGGAAACTCCATGTCAACGCGGTGGTCAAGATCGCCGAAGAGTATCATACCAATCAAGGACATCAAGCCCCGAACTTTGCCAGCCTCCTCCTCCTGATCTCCTCTAAGCTCGGCTGTTCCGCCTGCGCCGCCTCGCTCTCCGCCTCCGACTCCGTCTCGAACTCGGACGACGGCTGCCGCTCAATCGAAGGCGGCGCGAGCCCTGCTGCCGTCCGCTCCTGCGGCGGCGTTGTAACAGCAGGGCGTGGGGCAGGAGGGGCAGGCACGGGTGGCGGACTCGGCACGCGGAACCCAGCGGGGACGGTCTCGAGCGACGCACGCAGCGCCGCTTGGAGCTCCGCGTCCTCGTCATCGTACACCCTCGGTTGCTGCCACGACGGCGCGGCTTGCGGTGTGTGAGAGCCACCGTCCTCGCGCGATCCCGGCCCTGAGCCGGAGCCCTGGCCTTGCGCCATCGCCTCGCTCTCCGCGATCGCGCGCCGGAGCAGCTCGTCCTCGTCCTCCTCCTGGGCTCCGCCACCAGCGGCAGCGCGATGGGCTTGTCGAGCGCGGGACGCAATGCCAAACTGTGCGATCTCATCTTCGTACTGCTCTTGCAGCGCCAGTTCCTGTGCACGCCGCATCTGCTCCATGACCGCGCGCTGGCGGGCCATGCTGGCGAGGACCTGGTCCTCGGGCTCAGGTTCTACATGTTCTTGTACCCGAGCCTGTGTTCGCATCCGTGCGCCAGACGCGTCTTCCTCGTCGTCGTCGACTTCGATCACCTCGTAGTCGCGCTGAACAGGCAAGCCAGACGATGTCCGTGAGGGTTGCTGTGGCGCCGGCGCATGGGATACGGCAATGCGCTGAGGGATGTAATCGCCATAGTCGCCGCCTGCGAGGGAAGCTTGGAGCGCCGCTTGCAGCTCCATGTCCTCGTCCTCGAACCCTTCGACATGAGTGGCGGAGGAAGACGCGCCCGTGGCATAGGAGCGCGGATAATGGCCCGTTGGATCCTGGACATATGCGAACATTTCGTCGACCTCTGTCCGGGGGAGCGCGAGCGGGGCCGTCGGGTCTTTCTGTACGACAGCGAAGATCGTGTAGCCTGTGGATGAGCAGGATGGGTGTCAGAAGTGAGTGGCGGGATATGATGTGGACGTACCATTTTGTCTTGCTTGATGTAGGAACATCCCTAGATGCAGATTGCCGATATGTTGTGGGGCATCGTTCGTAGAGTTGAGATCGAACCAAAAGCCGCCTCCGGGATCGGCTTCGGGACTCGGATCGAGAGAGACGTGGCCGAAACGCCGCAACGTGTACCAGTGGAGGTCATGGTTGAGCACGAATGCCATCTGGGTCCTGAGAGACGGTGCAGAGTGAGCAGAGTGAAGATCCGATGGTTGGATCGAGCTTACTCTGGGTGCGTATGGTAATGTCTCTGGGTCTCCGCCTCCCACGGGACGAGGCTACAATAGAGATGTGAGCTACACACATAAGAGGGTGGTTCGAGAACGATGCGCACTCGAGCCCGAAATTCTGCAGGGCCTTCTGCATGACTTGCACGGAGAAGAAACCTGCGCGCCACGAACGAGATCGTGGATATGATGAAAGGCGGCCAGAGAAAGATACGCGTACCTGTATCATCCATGTTCATGCTAGTTGTGGCGCGGGCATTGTCATCTAAGGTGAGGTTCTCGTCCTGATCTAGCCCGCGAGCGATCTCTGCAAGCTCTGCCGCAGAGAACTGATGGAGTCGCATAAGGATAATGGGTGGTTATCATGAAGCGACATCTCACATAGTGTGCCTCTGCGAGAGGTATGAGTCAATTGCGGGCGATGAGCGAACGAGGAATTCGACGAGCTCACGTAGGAGGGAGTTGAGCGCGTGCTGGGCGCAGAGCATGGTCCCCGGTTCCTGTCTCTCGAAGTATATCGAAGGAATCAAGTCTTGTAGGGTGGCCATCGTAAGCAAAGTTCTCCAGGATTGTGGCGAAGGATGTTCGAAGGACTTGTGAAAGGTGAGATGAGAGATCGAAAGCAAGATGTTATGTATGCAGCAGGTGCAGCGGTAGCCCCGCGCAGTCCGGAGTCGGAGAGGGACTGACGCGTCTCGTTGACGCGTCCTGCCACGCGCTCTCCGAGGTCCTGTTGCCCGACGCGTGCATTACATAAGCAAGACACCGGGGTCCTGGCGGGCCGCATACGCGACTGTGCCACAACGGGCAGACGACGAGCGCGCACTAACTGCCAGTGCCAGTGCCAGTGCCAGTGCCAGTGCCAGTGCCAGTGCCAGTGCCAGTGCCAGTGCCAGGGCGAAGTGCTACCGTCTCCGCTGCCAGTCTACCATCACACATTCACAAGAGCTACCGCCGGCCGACTGACTCTCACTATACTCCTTTCAAACCGTCTTTCGCTACTTCCGTCAACTCATTGCTCTGCTCAATCCACTAGACTCTCGGGATCATACAACTCACCCAATCAACAGACATGGCCGTCCTCTGCAGATACACCATCTCGCGTGTTCTCTTCCTCACCCTCCTTTCTACACTGGTGGCCGCTCAGGACGACCAGAAACCATTTGACTGTCATGTCACAATTGGCGAGGACGCTTACGACCTCACCGGCCTCAAGGGCGAACACACTGTCACACGCGAGAGCAACATGCCTCCATCGACAATACACGACGCTGTCACCTTCAACCTCTGTGAAGACCTGGCGAAAAGCAGTGCACCAGAAGAGGACCAGGTGCGTACATCGGCTAGCTCCAGGCACTGTCGCTAAGATACAATTCGGACTGGCAGTGTCCGCCGGGCACACGAGCGTGTCTAGTGAGGACGAGCAGGAAGAACGGACATGATGACCGGGTCATCTCTGTCATCCCAGTTGCAAACTCGTCTGCAAGTGCCGTCTCCTACGACCCGATATCCTGTGAGTTTGCCAGCAACAAACGTAGACGTAGTGAGATGCTCATGTGCTTGTATCCTCCAGCACCGAAGGGTCTCCAGCTCACATTTGCGGGGGCGTCATATCCAAGCGTCGTCGGCTCAGAACCATCCCCACAGCACTTCCACTTACACCTCCTCTGCGGGTCCTCAGTCTCGGACGTCAACTTCGTCTCGTACAATGGCACGGACCTCTATCTCGACTGGGAAGCCCCGGCAGGCTGTCTGATCAAAACACCCCCCAGCGAAGACACGAAAGAGCCAACCGACGGTGGGGACGACGGGTCGGGGTCCGGAGAGAAGAAAGAGGAGGCGGTCGGGTCCGGACTCGGGTACTTCTTCCTATTGTGAGTCTCACCTTGGTCTGCACGTGTGCGCGATGTAGAATGCGGTACGACGGGCTATGCAGATTCTTCCTCGCCTTCGTGGCATACTTCGCCCTCGGAGCATACTACAACTACTCGACGTACGGTGCAACTGGCGCAGACCTCATCCCGTGCGTACTTTCCTCATCTTTCCATTTCCTTGCACGCAAGCGCCTTCTGAACGCATCATATGTCTAGGCATCGCGACTTCTGGAGAGAAGTCCCGTACATGCTCCGCGATCTCGTCTCACACATATGCTCCGCCGTCCGGCCAAGACACAGCGCCAGCCGAGGTGGATACATCGCCGTATGACACGTCGCTCCGCAGCTCTCTGTGCTTGGGCGGTGTCCGGGCGTCGAACTGCGACACTTTATCAGATGTCCCTGCCGGTCTCGATCCTTGCTGCTGCGGTCACTCCGCGGGCCATATACCGCAAGAAGCAGGCGCTATTGTGGGTGAGAGAAGGGCGTAGAGTACTTTGGGGCGTCAGTCTGGATGGAATGGGTCATATATGTCATGTTTTTCTGTTGGTTTGGGATACATACATACCCACATCGCTCCCGTTATGTTCGTAGTAATCAGCTGTGTCTTCGCAGTCGCGCTCGTATATGTCTAGTCGACTATGGTCTCGTGGTATACGCCCAGCACCAACTCGCGTCCGATCTAACTAAAGCAAGAGCGAGTGCTGAGCAATTAGCGATGATGTTGTTAGCGCAGATGTCTAAGGAGAACGTCTGCCTCTTGAGGTGGGAGGTAGTGTAGTCCCAAACGTTATAGAAGCCGTTTTACGGTGTGTCTGTCGCCGCAGAAAGCTGCGGGTCACGTAGAGGCCTCCTTCGTTGCTTACGATGCCTGTACCTTCTAATGTCCAGAACCGCGGTAAAAGATACCTCACTCAGATAATCCAATGACTCCTCTCCGCAGAACCCCAATACTGTCGCCGATGCACGCGCATGTGCACTACCATCCACAGAATGGAAGCTGCCCGGGTCTGATCGACCATCCCGCCGCGGCTGTCAGAAACTGGAATCCAGAGGATGTCCACGGGGTTATTATATGGAAGACATCCGGAGACCGAAGACAAACGAAGCGGCCGCAAGTGCGTGATCGCGTCGCGTCTGCCGAGACACGCCAATTAGCGAAGCGAGGGACCCAACGACGCTGGCGCAGATATCGCGTCGCGTCTCCAGCTTGCCTCCAGCTCCCATCTTCCCCTGCTGCATTTTGCTGCCAAGTCGCCCGCCGTCCGCGAGGTTCGTGTTTGAATGGGGAAAGTCGCGTATGTCGTCCTGGTGGGCACCAGGCCGGGGGTGTATACCGAGTGGTGAGTCTTCTTCTGGCTTGGTCTCGTCTCAGAGGGTGGTCGGCGGATGCTGCAGCACGCTATGGCGGGCCTATCCCTACCCTCGCCGATGACTGCAATGGACTCTTGACGTTGACAGATCGGTCGTTGACGTGCCTTGAATGGCCTCCAGGTGCGATGTACACGAACACACGATCGGGGTGCCTCGGTCACGGTACCAGGGCTTTGACGACTTTGCGAAAGCCGTTCGGTTCTACGAGAACGCACACATGAGGGGTGCCACTAGGACGGTGGTTATGCCACCGCGGTCACCACCGCTGCCGCCAGCCGACCAGCAACCTGAACGGCCCAGAAGAGAGCAGAACGAAGAGAGAATACACCGCCCGCGCCAAGATGGAGATGGACAGGCGCCCGTGCCAAGAGCAAAAGCAACGTCAGGTGCAGCTGGAAAAGCGGCGCGAGACGCACAAATCAGAGCGACGCTCGCGCAACTGAGAGGAGAAGACCAGCCGACGAGGATGGGTCCCAGTGCATCAAGTCCGAATGTGAGTTCGGGCGAGAGAAGACGGCCCAAAGCGTCGCAGCAAGCGCTGGCAAGAGCAGCGACGGAGCCCGCACAAGGCTTCGAAGCACTCTCTCCAGCAACGCCTCGTCGCCCTGTCCATCGCCCGGTTGCGCTGCCGTTGTCGCGCGCGCCTCCGCCCCCGCCCCGCTTACCGGTCAGGAGACATGAGGCCCAGGGGGCATTCAGCGGTCCGTCGACGTCGTCCTCGCCTCCGACGGAGGTATCGCAAACCAAGAATAGGTTTACGAACAGCCCCGGTATCTCCACCCCAAGGCTCGCGCAATCGCTCTCCTACGCATCGCCCCAAGCGGGCTCGCCTGCAGGCCTACGCACCCCGTCGTCGCTCGCGTCCAGTGATCAGCGTAGTCACCTTTCCTCGCCATCGTCCTTCGGGACTCGATACTTTCCCGAGGACTTTCCCGCACGTCTGTTGGCTGAGCTCGCTCGTAGCCCGGTGAAGGAGCCCAGCGAAGTGCGCGTAGAGCGGCAGAGCCTCGCCTTGTCCGAGTACGGTACAGCACCGAACACACCTGAATTGGAATACATCGACCTCGAATATGTTGTCCAAGATGAGGCTACTGAAGATGCGCACGAACCCGCAGTGCCGATTTCCAGCCCTGCTGCAAGCCCTGAACAGCGTAGAACAACTCTGAAGTGCTCCGTCAGCCCGCCGCGGGATTGTACCGAGCCGAAGATGCGCCCGAGCACGACGTTGCCTGCCGTGACGCAAGTCAACAGTTCCCCTGTCGCGACGTCGACCGCGCGACTTAGCGCCATCTCGAACAGCGTGAACAGCGTGAGTATCCCTGCCTCTCATCTCTCCGTCCCGAGTGTGAGCGTGACTATGCCCAAGACGACGCAACCCCCTGCGCAATCGCAGCGAAGCCGCAAGACGAAGCCGGTAGCCAAGACCAAGTCTCTCAGCGACGCGCAGGTACAGACCGAGCCCCAACCGCCAGTCCGCCGTCGCAGGAACCAAGAAGCGGCGGTGCAAGCCGCGCCTCCGCCCCCGCCGAAGATGCAGCGCCTTGACCACGGTGTGCAGATATCGCGCGCTGCAAGCCCGACGCCTGCAACGACGGGGGTCGGGGACATCCCTGTTCGTGCTCCCATCGGTGCGCCTGCGTGTGCGTGTGAGCATCCCCAGTATGCGTGCCTGCACTGCGGTCGCGCGCCACCTCAAACGCGCGCCGAACCGTCCGCCGTCGCCCGTGCAAGCTTGTCCCCGCTCCCGGACCCTTTCGGCTTGACTACGGCGTTGTCCCCTTCCGTCTTGACTACAGTCACGTCGCCGGCCCTGTCTGCGTCTTTTCCTCCAGAGTCTTCGTCCCCTGCTTCGTTCGCGACGCCAGCATCTGCGATCTCGAGTTCAGTCTCGATTCGATCCTCGCGGTCGCCTGTAGGAGGGCACACACCTCGTATGGGCCCCAGCGAGGCACACGCACACCTCCGCTCGACCGCAGTGGGCATCCAGCAAGGCCTAGACATGATGAGCTTTTCGGAGGCGACACGTGGGGCACACGACGTGGGCTTAGATCCGCGCTCGCCCATCCAAAGGGGTACCAGGATCCCGATCGGGTACGCTGTCCGTTCCTTTTGCTGCTGTACGCGCTCGGAAGACACTGTGCTGACGCCGGCTTTTACAGGACTTCTGGGTCTGCGATGCGGCCGTCGCCTGCATTCATGCCAGTCCCGATAGATAGCGTCCTATTCAGACCGTGATCTGCATCGAAATTAGTATTGATGAATGTCTGTGCCTTCTGTACGTTCCGCGAGGATCCGAAATCATGACTTGTTCTCTTCCCTTCCGGCGCGTTCCTGGGCTCTTGCGTCCGGTGCTTGGCGGGGGAAGACACTGTGCTCAGCCGCAGCAGAACAGACGAGTGGGCGCAAAAGGCGCGATTGATTGGGGATGGTCGTGGTAGGTGGGCAAGGAGTACGCGCATGCAGCGCGGCAACAGAGTTGTCCGATTGTCTTCCCAGGCTTCCGCGAATGGCTGTAAACGCGGTCACGTGCCACGCGTTCGACTCATCGCGCGCATCAGTTCCGCTTTTGGACGTCCCGCGCGCCTTCCGCCGATGTAATAAATGGGGGTGTCGGCGCCGTCGAACGTGGCCGCCCGGTGTAAGGCGGCGATAACACTGTCGGAGGGGACCGAGCACGGGCCTCCGTCATGGCCTCCCTTTTGATGTGGATCAGAAGGCGGCCCGGTCGGGACAGCGGAATCTACACATTGCATACGAGAGCGCGCTTTGTCGATGTGCCGTGAGCTGCACCACCTGCCTGTGTCCCTGGTCATATTACTCGCGCTCATGCGCACACAATATTATGGTCACCGTCTCTACTCAAGTATTCAATATCAATCATGGAGCCTTTTCAGGCAGGGAAGGCAGGATGTTGTCATCGAGGACAACACACGTTCTACGCGGCATGACCTGCTGCATTCCCCAATTGTGATGCTTGCGTGTTCTGCGCCGGACCCGCTATCAAGACAAACGCTGGGCTCCTCACGGGAGGTGAGCTTCTGCTCAAGGTCTGTGGATCCGTGCACTGATGGGCCCTTTACTTGCCGACCGAGACATTCTGCAGGGTTCTCGCTGGCCGAGACTTCTCCGAATACCCGTCCTCATGACCCCGATGTCGCGTTGGGTCTTCCGTCCATGCATTCCGTGATGTAAAGGCGGAATCTTCAGTTCACGTGTCGTATTGGAAGGAGCGGCGAGCGTGTCACAAGAGCTGCTTCGCGAATCCTCCTAGCAATATAAAGGCCCCACTGGCGATGCTCGGAGGCTGGTGATCGCAAAGCAAACGCGATGGCTGTGTCCCTACACCGTCTCTTCTCCTACGTCTTGGGGGCGCTCGTCGTCACTGCAGCCGCTCATAAGTCCGCACCCTCCGTGACGTCGACCGCTGCGAGCAGCACCCTCACAGGCATCGCCGCAACTGCTCCTACCATCGGTCCCTCCCACCAAGTGGGCAGGTTGCCTGCTCTTGGGTGAGATCCTTCATAAGTCTTGTGAACGAGTGTGCCGCAAGCTGATTCCTGCTGATCCAATCCAGCTGGAACTCCTGGAATGCGTACTCATGCAGTGCGCTCGCCTCTCAGCCTTGTCATATGCCCCAAACTGATCTCGGACTCACTTCTGGACAGATATCAACGAAACCAAGATCCTCGACGCTGCGGACCTGTTCATCTCCCTGGGCCTGGCCGACGCAGGCTATGAGTATGTGAACATCGACGTCAGTTGTCCCTCTCAAGCTCCAACCGCCATGTTCGCTGACACCATCGTCTGTCGATTAGGACTGTTGGCCGCTTGAGACCCGCGACGCGTCTACGGGCCGGATCGTGCCCGATCCGAGCAAGTTCCCGAGCGGCATCAGCGGCGTCGCTGACCAGGTGCACGCCCTCGGCCTGAAGCTCGGGATATACAGGTCGGGTTCTGCTGCGTATATGCGCATGGCACCCTGCTGAGATTGGTGCCGGGACTCACAGCGATGCTGGCACGAACACCTGTGCGGGGTTCCCTGGCTCTCTCGGAAACGAAACGGTGGACGCGGAGGCGTTCGCCGAATGGGGCGTCGATTGTAGGTTGCTCCTCCGGTACCTATACTGTAGTCTGATCACCTGACTTCCTCTCTTCGGAGACCTCAAATATGGTACGTTGTGTTCTACTCTATGCCAACGCCATGTCGTGGCACTGACGTCTCTTTTGCAGACAATTGCAACGTCCCTAGTAACTGGACGGATGCTGCCGTATGTCCCTTTTGCATATGTGTTGTGAGATTGACCCTAACGCATCTATCCACAGACCCCGCCTGACAACGACTGGTAGTACGTGCCTCCCCCAGCCAAGCTACTGCCCTGCCTGAAACCTGCTCCAGCAACTCGAACTCTGCTATCCGCTACCGTCAAATGACGTATGTCTCCTTCCATTACTTCAAAACGCAAGTATAACATGCAAACGTTATTCCAGAGCGGCGCTGAACCAGACCGGGAAGCCTGTCCACTTCAGCCTCTGCATCTGGGGCGACGCTAACGTGTGGGAGTGGGGCGATCGCGTCGTGAGCCTATGACAACTTTCCCTGACCACGATATCAGCAAGTGACATAACTGCACAGGGCCACTCGTGGCGCATGACCGGCGACGTTAGCGCATCTTGGAGTTCCATCTCGAGCATCATCGCGGCAAACGCTCAACATCTCGATTCAGTCGACTTCTTTTCCCATAATGACATGTGAGTGTCTGCCGCTCTATAAGAGAGTCCAGCAGATCCAACTTGCTTGCAGGGATATGATGGAGATCGGGAACGGCGACTTGACCTTAGAGGAGCAGCGAACCCATTTCGCCGCATGGGCATTCTTGAAGAGCCCCATCCTCCTTGGGACCGATGTAAGCCACAATTACTACGCATCTCCTATTATACCTCACGCTCAATGCCACTCTGTAGCTCAACAATCTCAACTCGACTCAGCTGGATATAATCAAAAACGCTCAATTGCTCGCGTTCCACCAGGACCCCATTGTTGGAACCCCGGCTACACCATTCAACGCGACAGCATCTGCTCCCAGCACTTCGCCTCCCGAGTTCTACGCTGGGAAGTCCTCGAAGGGAACACACGTCTTCATCATCAACACTAACACTACGGCCACGAAGACGTTCGAATTCGGAAACGTTCCAGGCCTCGGGTTCGGTCGATTCAGGGTGCAGGACATGTGGACGGGCAAAAACCTAGGAACCTTCGCAAACAAATTCTCGATCACTGTGGACACTCACGATACTGCTGCACTCTTGATCCACCGTGCATAGCGTCTGACCATGTAGTATGGAATGCCTAAGGATATATTGAATCACCCGAATTCCACGCGAGTCTACAGGTACACGATATCGTACAGATGGGGCAAGCCTACAGCTGCGTTGCGGCGCATTCAGTTGTTCATGCCCGTAGCGTTCTTCGCCTTGTCGGACATGGACTGCTATGGGAACATGAGCGACGTGACTCCAGAGGGCGCCCATCTCGCGGCCACTTACCGAGCTCTCGTTGGAGTTCCCGCTCATCGCATCCCCAGCCTTCTGGGTGTACGACTTCTCGCTCTGACAGAAATCGAGGTCAGATCGATGAACAGTAAAATATATTGGTCGTGCTCACTTCAGGCTGCATGGACGATGCCATGGAGTCATAGGCACCCTTCGCGGTGTCGCTGAGCTGTTCGGTCATGGACTTCTGAGAGTCCGGCTATACATCAACATTGTCAGATCGCTCAAACGTTGAAGATAGGTGATGAAAGACTTACCTTCGCCGACGCGCCCATCTTGTCGGTGAAAGACTGTCTACCGGAGTCGGCCATTATGAGAGTGGATATGTACGGGGAATCTGGTGTGAGCGGGAGGTGTCTGTGGTTGGAAGGTTGTTGCGTAGCCCAACGCCCTCTGCCTGTGCCTTTATACTCTCCTGCGTGCTGCGGTCACATTCTTCACACAACTACTTTGTGAGACGTCATACACCGTCCGATCTGCACCCCTCATCTTATGAAGAGCATCGTGCGCCCGGTCGGGAGGCACAGTTACCGCATTCATACATCGCAGGGCCCCTGATGTTTGGTGGAACCTGCGTCGTCGCCGAACTGTGGCTGATCCCGGTGGAGCGAAGGCTCACAGTACCGCGCGGCGTTGGAATGCTAGCTCACGCGCACGACCTACGACAAGGATGCATCGCATCCTTTGTTGCACAAAGTGTACCGGGGCGTTGGTTGTAAAGGGTAAGGTGAGGAAGCTCGGCTTCTGGGACGGAACTGCTCCAGAAGTAGATATTGTCTCTTTGCAACTCGGGACCGCATCGCTGGGAGGACGTCGGACGAGTGCGCTCATGGGTCCTTCGATGTCTCGGAGGCCTGATGCATATATGCGTGTCAAGGGTGCACCGGTGAATATCTAGACGTTGATGTGAGTGGTCATGAAGCATGACAATATTTGTGATAGATCAACAGTACGGTCATGCTCCCGTCACAAGCTTTCACAAGTAACGTCTTAAAGGGCATCGTGGCACGACGTAGGTGAAGTACTGAGGCTCAGAATATCCGATCCCCGACGAGACGAGAAGGGGGACCGGAGAGTTGACGGAGATGAGATGCTGCAAGAAAGCCACTTGCAATCCGCGTATGGGGTATAATGGACAAGGATTTGCATACAACCGAATACGACGACAGTCGTATATAGTCCAGATATCGTAAAAACTCGCGTTGTACGACTATACACGATAGAAATCGACCCATATCGACCTCATTCAGGCACGTTCTCACTGGGGATCACCAGGCACTCACCGCACGTATTTGCAGGCGAAGAGCCCAGCGATGTTCAGGCGATCAGATGCCGGATAGACGTCTTGCGCTGTCCAAGTATCAACCTAAGTGGAATCGAAGCCTCACATAGGCGATGCGAGTAGAAAGTGCCAAGTAGGTAAGGTTGACCCGGTGCACAACCTATGACATCACGTGCTGAAAATGTCACGCTTTGGCGGGGAAAAGCCCGAAAATCGTATAGGCTCGACGACGGGAGCAAAATCGAAAAATCGAGAACCAGAGAGTTGTAGCGAGTACCCTTCTCTTTGATTCTCTGGTTTTAGATTTTTCAATTTGGGGAAGGGGACTGAGCCTATACAAGAATACGCCTCAGGTCCCCAGCTAAATCATCGCTAAGCACCGACCGGAGAGTCACGCCTTGGCGGAGGGCACGTGCCAAATAACGCTGTGACATAGCAGTAGGTAGGCTCGTCCCCTGCCGAGATCCGGTGTTACAGTGATTTGCAAAAAACACTGCAGGTCGTGCGCGCGGGCAAGACTATTTGTTCCTATTTGGCATTCCCGGGAAGCGCTTCCCCGGGACGGAACGGCTCAACATTCTCTGTACTTATTTGCATCTGAACGCGATAGAGTACGAGGAGGGATGCAGACAAATTACTTCCCTTGGATTCCGAAGCAGACATAGAACTGCCAACTCAATGTCCCTGAGCGCCAGTGCCCGAAACAGAAGTTCGCGCCGTGAACGCCCGGGAGCAAACATGGGCAAACAGCTCGCCGCGCGGATGCGACCTGCAGTGTTTTTTGCAAATCACTGTATTGGAGATCAGTACTACATACTCGCCCAGACAACGCTGGCTTCCGGCCTCGGAGCAATCAAGCAATCAAGCGCGGGCTAAGCGAGCCACGCGAATGGAATCGCCTCTCCTTTACTGCGACGCCGTCGATCTTGCCTCAGTTCCCAGCTCTCACTAGTTGGCATAGTCTATCATTAGCTTTCCGTATTTCTGGTCCTGTTGCCTCGTCCAACTACATCTGCCTGCCTATCGACTTCTCGAAGTCAGATCCTCATTGGATAGTCGCGTGAGAGGTGACCGGCTGCATACTACCAGTACTTATCTCTACATGAACACATAGTCTATACTTTTGCTGACGACCATCAGGATACATAACCGAGACGCAAAGTTCTACGCTGAGACGCACTAGTATGTATATGTGGGTAGGAACGGCGCTCGTGTGCACAGCTGATCTTCGTCCCCCTTGGATGTGTTCGGTAAGCTTTTTGACAATTTGATCACAATACTGCGTTGATCCACGCGCGAGTCACCTACCGCTTACGATACGTCTCTTCTCTCCGAGGAGGCCTATGGCTCCCTCGTGTCCGCGCCGACATCGAGGGTCGCGGGGCTAGGCGACCGTCAAGTGTGGACATCTTCACTGATGCCTGTGCATCCCATCATTTGCTGCCTGGTTGCCTTGCAATGGCGCAGGGGCGCAGCCACGAGATCTCTGATATCGTTTCGCCAACCAGTCATAACACGCGACATGGGGCTCTCGGGAGCTGTCGCAATGGACACTCGGGCCCAGCAACCCCGACGCCGGCTCCCGCCGCTCAGCTCGATACATAAAGAGCCCCGCTGCCTTGTGACGTTCCGCCCACTCGCTCGCCCGTCGCTACCGACGCGCCCCGTTTGTCGTCGTTCCCCTTCTCGCCTCCCTTTCTGGCCCCGCAGACCCTGGTGGTTCTTTCCCTTCTTTTCGCCGACTTCCTGGAGCTTCTCTCTTCGTTCACCTTCTAGCTTCAGTTCTCAAGCTTTCGATTAATCGCTTCCGTAACGACTATGGCACGCATCCTTCGCTCTTTCCTCGGCCTCGCCGCTCTCGCCGCCCTCGCGCGCGCGGCGCCCACCCCGCTCTTCGGCATCAACATCGGCTCCGGAGACGAGACGGACGGCACGCCGAGCGCGGTCTCGCAAGACGACATCACGACGGACCTCCAGCGGCCCGCACAGTTCTCGCGCGCGGCGTACTGCTCGACCGCGTCGGTGCAGAAATGGTCATGCGGTGCTGCGTGCGACGCGATCCCTAACGTCAAGGTGCTGGCCGCGGGCGGTGACAACGGAGCTACGCCTGACTGTGAGTCCTTCCCGTGCTCCATGATCGCGACCGCATCGCGCGACTACGTCCGTGACATGCGCGCGGATAGTTGGAACGAATCCATGCTGACTGAACCTGACTTGTCGCGGCGCGTACCCCACAGTCTTCATCGCGGAAGACCCAGACCAGCAGCAGGTCGTCGTCGCGCACCAAGGCACGGACCCGCACGAGATCCTGTCGATCGCGAACGACGTCGAGTTCGCGCAGGTCGACGCGAACGCGACGCTCTTCCCGCAGGCGTCGTCGGACGTCCAGGTCCATTCTGGCTTCCAGGACACGCAGGGCCGCACCGCCGACCTCGTCCTGTCCACCGTGCAGAGCTCGCTCGCGTCGAACGGGTTCAAGAAGGTCCTTGTCACCGGGCACTCGCTGGGTGCGGCCGTGGCGAGCCTCGACGCGGTGATGCTCCGGATGGCGCTCCCGGACGACGTCGAGGTCGACTCGGTCGTCTTTGGGCTGCCCCGCGTCGGGAACTCGGCGTGGGCGGATCTGGTCAACTCGCTGGTACGTGCTATGAGTGGTGATAGAAGCGCAAGGTGCTGATCGTTGTGGCGCGATGTGCAGATCCCGAGCTTCGCGCACATCACGAACCAGGACGATCCGGTGCCGAACGTCCCGCCGCACTTCCTCGACTTCGAGCACCCCGGCGGCGAGCTTCACATCACCGCGGTGGACAACTCGACCGGCCAGGCGACGATGGTCAACTGCCCGGGGTCGGAGAACCAGGTGAGCATCAGCCAGCTCGAATGCATGTCGAGAGCCTACTAACGGCATTGTATGTCCGTCCACCAGGAATGCGCGGCAGGCAACTCGCTCCTCGACACGTCCATCCCGAACCATCTCGGCCCGTACTATAACGGCATCTCCTTCGGTGACAAGGCGTGCCCCAACTGAGCGTCTACCGCGTCTTCACATGCTGCCGGATTATTTTGCGCTCTCTTGATGTTAGTTTGAAGCGGTTGGCTTCTGGGATGCTGGTCGGTGCTTGTATTCGTTCTGTTGTAGGGAAATCACTAGCGGGGCATTAGGGACGACAAAATCTCATCGTATTCTCTCGGGCGATCGGTCTGACCGATCTCGCTGATTTACGGGCAGTTACAGAAGCAAGGCTACGATACAGACACGCGTTTGACGACCTCGAACAGAACTTCCGATACATTGTGTATGTGACCCGAGAATTGGGATGCATTCGTACGGCTTCATCCCCCTTCATACTTTAGGACTCTTGAACGAGTCCACGTCGACGTTTGGTCTCACCTCTTGATGAAGTCGCGGATCTGCGTTTCTTCATCATGTGGATGGTGACCATAGGGGTGGTCAGAGTGCACGATTACGGGGCGATTCTGGGACGATTCTGGAGGCCGATTCTAGAGGCGATTTTGTTCTCAGAATCGCGATTCTGCATTCCCCCAAATCCTCCCCAGAATCGCGACCATAACTTTTCCCAGTATCTTCCTTCGGTATGGGGTGGTCAGAGTAGGCCGCGATTTCGACACCATTCAGATATTCAGAATCGGCGCGGAATCACTGGGAGAATCGCTTCAAAATCGCGCACTCTGACCACCCCTAACAACACCGGTGATATGTACGTGATGGCGGTTTGTAGCCAGGTGTGATTTGGTCCAGGGATCAACGATAGACGCGCTCATGTTGCCGGGGCGAGCCAGGGCAAGCTCGCTTATTCTCTTTTCCTCCTGTCCACAACCATCTGCACTTTGCGCGAATGTCCATTACGCCGCGATAGGACCACGCTATGCGGCGCCGACGTGTGGGCCACTCGCCAACGACTGACACAACATCCCCCCTCCGCCTTCTACAGCCGCTCCTCTGGTCACGAGACGTGGTCAGCTGGCTGTACTGACGTCTCGTCCAAGACTGTGGAGAAGCTCAGCTGCAGGCCGGTCTCACGGCGCTGGGGGCAGCCAGCAGAAGCGAGTATGCAGTCGCGCTGAAGGAGGCAGTCCTGCTCGCGGTTAGGCAGGAGCAAGTGTATGGGTGAGTCATTTCGGGCAAGGGTGTCTGGGGTGGCCAAGACACAGACCGCCACCGCCACCGTACGGAAAAGGAGGGCCGTCCCGGAGGATAGCCGACCGTACCGCGTGTGGGGGCTCGATCAACTATGACTTCAGGCTACTTCAAGATGCATCCGTCGGCCAGAATCGCTTCGTGCCTCGAACTTTACTTCCCTCCACTATCATCGCCATGCTCTCATCTGGCCGCACGCATCTCCAGTCGTCGAAGGCGGTCCTTGCGGGGTGCGCTAGGAGTGCAGGCCCCACGATTGTGCCCAAGTGAGTACATCTTCATCTGCGGTACTGGAGGAGGAAAAAGATCCGCATGGAAAGATTGTGCTTATGAGATCCGGCTCGCTGCGTCAGCCAAACACGCGTGTAGGTTGTGTCGATGTGTCCCCAGAGTGGACCAGGCTATGCTACGGATAAGATGTATGAATATAGCTGCGACAGCAACAGCTCCATACCGCGTTCATCTATTCAGGAAGGCCGTCCTCCCTTCTGAATTATTTCGACGGCAGCGCTGCTTACATCTCGTTGGGTTATCAAACGGTATCTCACAAGATCTCTCTTTCTGGGACACATGATTGGGAGTTGAGTGTGCTCCTTAGATCTAGGCCCGCCGTCCTAGCTTCTGTCCGGTCTCGTATGGAGTAAGGGTATGGTCGACAGCCGGCAAAGCCCTGCTTATCTACTCGACTGTGGATCGGTGTCGGGTCATGTATGCGATCATTACGTCGAGCGTGGATGCATGGGAGCAGCAGCGCGAAGGGAGCAAGCTCAGTTTCGCGTTCGGGCTAAACGCCTCTCATCATATTTGTGTCCTATCGTGCACCCCCTAGCCACCCGAATACGTCGCGTGTTCAGGGTCCGGAACTTGCACAGCTCATATCTCCCTTGACGGTGTCACGAAGTCCCCGGAGGCACGCATTCTGACCGAATATCTCTTCCAGCTCCAGAAGTGGCCTGTCAACTGCGGCCTTGGCCCGATGCTCATATGACGCACGACACAGCGCCTCCGAGCGTATAAAGACGCGGCGAACCGACTTGCAGGCAGTCCGTACCATGGCCTCGACGTCTGTCCAGTCACACGACTCGTTGGTGAAGTTCGGCGACCAGCATGTTACGGCGGGCCTCGGTCGCCTCGTAAACGCCGTCCTTACCAAGGGCGAGGGTTCATATGTGACTTTTGGAGATGGCAGGAAATTGCTCGATTTCGCTTGCGGTATTGGTGTGACGAGTCTCGGTGAGTAGACCGTCCCCGTTGTACACGTTCCGAGTACGCTGAAGCCCACGGAATCCCTCTAGGACATTGTCATCCGAAAGTCAGCAAAGCCGCTGCAGATCAATGCATGAATGTCGTCCATGTGCAGGTTAGTGCTCCTCCGACCTTCTTATCGTTGCACACGCATATGAAGCATGCTCTATCACGTAGTGTAGCATTGCGTACCATCAACCCTACCTCGAACTCATCCAGCGGCTGCTGCCGATGATGCCTCATCCCTCATTGGACTCATTCTTCTTTTGGACGTCCGGCTCCGAAGCAGTCGAGGCAGGCATCAAGATGGCACGAGCGATCACCGGTCGGCAGAACATCATCAACATGCAGGGTGCATACCACGGACGAACAATGGGCGCGATGGCCGTTACGAAGAGCAAAACAATTTACAGCGCGGGCTTCCACCCACTCATGGTACGTGTCGAGCGTGGTTTGGGGACATTTCAAAGCTAACATGCAATGATGTTCTATTTGCTAGCCCGGAACGTTTACTGTTCCGTACCCATACTGGCACCAACTCGGGGTGCCTCCCGACACGCCTGCGTCGGAACTTACGAAGACATGCCTGAATCAGCTGAACCTCCTCCTCTCGCAGGCCACGGCGCCGAAGGATACCGCTGCCATCATTATCGAGCCGGTTCTCGGGGAGGGCGGCTACGTCCCCGCACCTGCAGAGTTCCTCCACGGGCTCAGAGAGATCTGCGACAAGCACGGCATCCTGCTCATCATTGACGAGGTGCAGTGCGGATTCGGCCGGACGGGCAAGCACTACTACAGCGAGTACTCGGGTATACGGCCGGACATCCTCCTTAGTGCGAAGGTGCGTGCCGGAAATGCTTTGTGTTCAGCAATGCATCCTTATAGTATATCCGTAGGGTCTGGCTAATGGGTTCCCGCTGAGCGCCGTGATCAGTCGCAAGGAGCTTACCGACAAGCTCGCGCCCGGTTCGATGGGCGGAACCTACGCCGGCAATGCCGTCTCTTGCGCGGCTGCCGTCGCAACGGCAGATGCGCTTAAAGAAGAGAAGGTCCTGGAGAACGTCGATGCTCGGTGCGTACTTAATACTCCATATATCTTCTCTACGGCTATCTATGATAGTGTACCGTCGCCTTGCGTCAAACCTTGACCATTTCCGCACACCGGACTCAATACTCACGCTCGAGTTCCCAGGTCTAAGGAACTCTTCGCCGCACTCAATGAGCTTCGAAAGGACCCTAAGCTCGCGCCCGCGATCCTAGACGTGCGCGGCAAGGGCCTCATGGTCGCGGTCGAGTTTGCGTCTCCAGTGGGATCGGGCCCGTACGACACGTTCACGAACCCGTCTGTGCCGGAGAAGCTCGCGAGCCGTGTGGCGAGCAAGTGCGTGGAGAAGGGCTTGCTCATTTTGACGACGAGCGTGTACGAGGTCATCCGGTTCATCCCGCCTCTGAACATCTCGAAGGAGGACCTCGCGAAGGGTGTGGAGATTTTCAAGGAGGCTGTGTACGAGGTTGTTAGGGATGGTTGATTGTGAGGTCGAGGTAGGAAGGGGCCGGTAACCATTGCGAAGTGCGTGTATACATACTGACATTGTGCTCCCAGTCCAAGCCCTGCGCCTTGTATATGTAGCGACACATATGAGTGCCAGGTTTCAGACTTTCGCCGTTGCATAGCGTCCGAGTGCCACGTGTTCGTTTGACTCTTGTTGCGTGGTCTATAATCAATTGCAGTGGCCTCCCATGAGCTGGGCAAACGTCGATTCACACACCGAACATATCACAGATGCCGTACAAGGATATCAGTATCCATCGATAAAGTTGGGTCGAGTGGCTATAAGCAGATCACCGTGTTGAGTCGTCAGATGCTGCTCGGAACCTCGGAACGGGGGGCGTACGTGAACGTATCGCTCGCTTACTACGGCCTCACAGACTGTCCGCCAGAATACAGACGCTGATTCATTTCAAAACACTAGGCCGCTCCGTTCATCAAGAACTACTATACACCTGTGGGGTCTAGACTCATATCGATTGCGATGTTCCCAAGGTATGTGTGTAACTATTGGTCTTCATGGTGCAACTGGACACCTTAACATTCAAGACATTGCGACAATTCACGACTGATGATATTTCTCAGTACAACTAAGGAGGTAACTCACGACCTGCCAGTGTGGCCCGGACTGGAGATGAAGTAAACCGGACCTCATCGCCGTATGTCTCGGTAGGAGATTTCAATCAGATGCTGTACTGTATTCTCACGTTCAACACGATACTAACTGTTCCCATGCCCAATGTCCTCTCCGTCACATGCTTCCTCGCATCGATATCGTGATGGAACCAAATAGCAAGGCGCCTCAGCGAGTGCGGACCCTCCTCGAGATATATGCTCGACTAGCGGCTTGCGATGTCTCCCGTACTCCCCTGGGAAGTCATAGAGGGGGTTGTGGACCAAGCATGTCATGATCCCGACCTCCTGCGTAGCTTTTCCCTCACCTGTCGCCACCTCCATCCTTACTGTCTTCTGGTTATGATCAATCATATACCTCTCAACAGCAGGGACAAGGCTTTCGCCTTCTACGACTTTCTTCGAACAGAGACTGGATCACGACTCCGGGAGCGCGTACAGTCTCTTACCATTTTCCCCGTCAATGTTCCGCACTTTCCTCCGCTTCAAATGCTCCCCAACCTTTCTACCCTCTCTTTCGTCGTGCACGAGCACAAAGAACACCATGAAGGACAACAGCGACCTCCTGTATGTCTCCACACATCCCACCTCTGGTGCTACCACCGGTACGGCCAGAACATCCGAACTCTAGAGCTGGGCAATCTCTCCCTGTCGACCTGTATGGATCTGTGCCGATTGATCCTTGCCTTTCCGAATACGACAACCCTCGACTGCCGCGCTATCTCTGTGCAGTCGCAGGCGAAGGCTGGACCTGACATGGACCATATGAGGAACAAGCTATTCAGACAGCTTCGCCTGGCCACCGTCAACGTGAGGATAGCCGAGTCCATGCTTTGTGCGTCCAATTGACTGATGAGTCCTATCTTATAGATGCATTCGGGCGTAGATGAAGGCGTAATTCCGTTGCTGGGGTGCACTGTGCAGACTCTAACATTGAGAGAACAAGACGGTGTGTGATCTCGCTAGTGGTCAGTCCGCACACTGACCCTCGTTCAGTAATTTCCCGCGCATTTTCTGAGCCCTCGGAATGGAAGCGGTTGCACACCCTTACAATTGGATTGGAGCTCGACCATAGGGCGGATAGTATAGAGAGACTGACTGAGTTTCTCACACGTTTCCGCCCCCCAAGCCTATAGGACGTCTCTGCGCACTTCCTTGTGACCCATCGACGAACCCTTCTTCAGAGGGCCGAAGATGAAGCATCCGAAACAACCTGGTGGATCCGTGTATGCTCGAAGCTGGAAGAAGTCCTCTCCAAATTCTGTCGACAGCAGTTGTCTTTCCTGGTATCATTAGAGAAGCCTGCCAGAGAGCGTCTTTGCATTCGAGAGCTTGGTGAACTCTTTCCGGCCTTGCGCGATCACAAAAGATTGACTGTTACTTGCAAATTAAATGAGCTTGAACTTTCCTAACATTATGTGCTCCTGGCACAGCTGACCGACGTCTTAGCTGCTGCTGTTGGCCATGAGGATGCACTATGCCAGTCGGCCCTCGTTGTTTCCCCGGACGGCAAGTGGATTGCGAGTGGGTCATTTGACAGCACCATCATCCTTCGGGACTCGGATGGACAGCTGCGCCATGAGTGGGTGGCTCACATCGCAGCTGTACGGTCTCTCACATTTTCCCCCGACAGCCGGTTCCTCGCGTCTGCCGGCGAAGACATGAAAGTAGCTGTCTGGGATCTCAATCAGGGTGCATGTCGAGTCGCGGCATTTATAGCGCACACGAGCAGAGTCCGGAGTTGCGCCTGGTCTCCCGACGGCACGACGACTGCATCCGGGGCTTTTGACAATACAATTTGTCTCTGGGACGCGAAGACATTCCAGCAGCTCCATCTCTCCGCCGGCCAGCACCGGGGTCCCATTTTGTCTGTGCAATTCTCCCCCGACGGACGCTGGATCGCCTCTAGAGGCCATCATCCCTACTGCTGTATATGGGATGTTGCATCTGGCAGACTGCACAAGATCCTTGGGGGGCATACAAGGGAGCTCCATGCCGCTGCGTTTGCCCCAGGGAGCGCGCGTCTCGCCACCGCGTGCTCCGATGACATAGTCCGGATCTGGTATGTGGAGACGGGAAAGCCGATTGTCGTCTTAGAGCACACAGGAGGTGCCCAGGATTTGGAGTTCTCCCCAGATGGGAGCTTGTTGCTGTCTGCGTCGTGGACCTGGACAGTGAAGATCTGAGACGCGTATACAGGAGTCATGATCATGTCGTTGGAGGGACACTCCTTCCCCGTCACGACCGCGCGCTTCTCTCCATGTGGGAGGTATGTACTGTACATCGCATCAGCATCCGCGGACAAGACGGTGCGGTTGTGGGGGACAAGTGAAGGGTTGTGTGTGGCGACGTTCTCCGAACATCAGACAGAGGTACAGTGCGTAGCATTCTCCCCGGACGGCCAGACACTGTCGTCTGGAGGGAATGATGGGAATGTCTTCATTAGACGAGTGGACCATCAAGCTATTCTAGACAACTTATGTTACTGTAGCTCTAGTGTGTATGTGCTTCAGAGACCGTGTAAGTCCTATGTATATCGCCACGAACTTCTCCCGGGGTTGTATCACGGACGTTCGTAGCGGAGATTATGGGGCGCCCTGGGTAACGAAACGGTCGGGGCGGATGCCGACCGGTTACGGCCAATATCAGGCGCCGTGGATGGGGGCACCGAGCTCTGCGTGTCCTCTAAGTACCCTCCTGCGGTCTTCCCATTCGACACGCCCGGGCCCACGCTCGACCGCCTGCGCCGCTCGTCATCCCTGCAGCAGACTGGTGCTATCTCCAGCTCCTTCCTCGCCACTTGCGGGACCGGCGCTGTGCCGCTGTCCCTCATGCACATGGGCAGTCTCACGCAGTCTATGTAAACCCCAGACCGCATCCGTGCTCACGAGGTTGCCTTCCTCACTCCAAACACACGGCCCACGCCGCGACGGCGCACGGACTACGAGCCACCCATGGACTGAACCTCCTGAACGCATACTCATCCTCTCCCTCCTCGTACCAACCCTCCCGCACAGGTCTCATGCCCGGATCTGCACTCCGACGGCTGCACTGTGTTCGTTGACGATATTTTCACATTGGCCATGTGTAGATGGCCGGTTGCTGCACTATATGTTGAGGGTCTCAACGGCAGAGATGCAACCTTGACTGAAACGGAGGATTATTGCGGCAATTTCTCCAAGTCAGTGGCGTCTTAGCTCAATCCCTAGCACTGCGATACTGTGATCTTAAGTCGACTAAGGTACGGACATCCTCGTCAGGTAATCTCTCCCGTCCTCCGCGTAAGTTTTACCCTCGTTCGACTATGGCGCATCCGCGCTTACCCGTGCACCTCACTTAGGCTCATCAAGAGTTCACCGCTGTTCTCGGCAAGTCCTAGTCCAACCCATACCGATCTCACGCTGATCGACAACAGCCAGGACAACATTGAAAGGGCAATCATCAACCACTCCGTCATCTCTCCTGGTTACCTCGCCCATCGAGACCGATACGCGGTCTAATACCGGCTTGGATCTTGTTATATGCCCTTTATTCCCGTTGCGTACAGGCGACATGGATCGGGTCACCGTCCATCCCGCCCGGATGGTACGGGTCTGATCGGGCAATACGCTTGGCCCTCCTGAGGCACCGCACAAACGGCGGAGCCGCACACGCGGCCTTACGCACGCGATCCTCGACACCTTCCCCGTTGTCAAGTTGGCCCGGCGGACGGGAGCCTCGCGGAGGCAGCTGCGCTCGGGAAGGACACCCGAGAGCATCGACTATGCCGCAGATGTGGTTCCTGTCGTAGCGCTCGACAGACGTTGGGTCGCGCAAAGCGGTGGACAGCGACGGAGACAATCGCTCGTAGGTTTTCTTTTTGCTGAGCACCGTCATCGGTCCCGAAGAGCTCACGGACAAGCTTGCGACCCGCTCGATGGGGGACCTACAGCTGGAAATGCACGGCGGCGTTACCAGGGCTGGCGCCAACGAGGGTATGTCTGCTGATGCTCAAGCCCGAAGTCTACAAAGCTTTGCCGCACTCATAATCTCTTCAGGACACGATCCTTGACTTGCGCAGCAAGGGCCTCGTGGTTGCCGTCAAGTTTCTTTCTCCGGTAGGCTCGGGTCCGTACGACCCGTACAGAAACCCGTACGTGCCTACAAGGCTCACGAGCCACGTAGCGAGCATGGACGTGGCGAAAGCTTGCTCACTGCGACGAGGAGCGTGCACGAGTAGCTCATCCCGCTACTAAACGTCATCGAGTAAACCCTGCGATGCGTGGAAATCTTCTCGGAAGCTGTGAATGAGGTCAATAAAACGGTGAAGTGTGCGGACAAGGGAGGCAGGAGCCAGAGAACCAGGCGTACGAGTATGTACAGCCCTGGGGCCTGATGGCATGTTCGGTGTGTTGTAACACAGCAGATGTCAGTGCCAAGTATCAGGTTTCCGCCATGGCAAAATGTGCGAATGTCATAGTGCCCTTCATCGTGTCATTCTTCAATGAACCGCACGTGAGCAAGAAAACGCGTTATATATACCGAAAAAAATACGGAGGTATTTTTTTGGATCTTTGCCACCAACCGGTACGTTCACAACAGATAGAATGGCTTTCATGGCCGTGCACGCGTCTATGCTGAGTCTTCTTCGATTGTAGGCTTTCGGTACTTCCCACGTTCGACATGACACCTGTGCCAGTCTACCCTGAGCCTCATGCTTCCTTGCATCGTGGTAGTCCTTGGACCCAATTAACAAGGCGCCTTAAATGCGGACCCTCCTCTCATTCTCCGTCGCTCATCCCCTACTGTCGGCTCACGATGTCTCCCTTGCTCGTCCTCTATCGTCGACTCGCCATGTCCATGGTACTCCCTTGGGAAGTCATAGAGTGTGTTGTGGACCAAGCTTGTAATGACTTCGACCTCCTGCGTAGTTTCTCCCTCACCTGTCGCCAGCTCCATCCTTACTGTCTCCTGGTCATGATCAATCATATCCCTCTCAATGGCAGGGACAAGGCTTTCGCTTTCTACGATTTTCTTCGAACAGATACCGGATCACGGCTCCGGAGGCACGTACGGTGTCTCACCATTTCGCCCGTCGACGTTCCGCACCTTCCTCCGCTTCAGATGCTCCCCAACCTTGCCACCCTCTCATTCATCTCGCGCGAGCTCAAGGAATACTGCGGTGGAGAACGTCGACCTACTTTGTGTCTCCACACGTCCCACCTCCGGTGCTACCACCAGTACGGCCAGAACATCCGGACTCTACAGCTGGGCAATCTCTCCCTGTCGACGTGTACAGATCTGTGCCGATTGATCCTTGCATTCCCGAATATGACAAAAATCGACTGCCGCGATATCTCCGTGAAGTCGCAGGCGAAGGCTGGGCCTGGCATGGACCAAATGAGGAACAAGCTATCTCGACAACTTCGCCTGGCCACCGTCAACGTGAGGATAGCCCAGTGCATCGTTTGTGTGTCCGATTGACTGATGGGTCCTATCCCTTAGATTCATTCGGGTGCACCTGAGGACGTGACATCTTTGCTGCTCGATTGTGCTCGGTGCACTGTACAGACTGTGATGTTGACAGGACTTCACGGTGCGTGGTCTGGCTAGCAATCAATCCGCAAACTGACCTCTGACTCAGTGATTCCCCCCGTATTCTTGATGCCCTCGAAATGGAAGCGGTTGCATACCCTTACAATTGGATTGGAGCTCGGCAAGGGGGTGGATAGGTTAGAGAGACTGACCGGGTTTCTCACACGCTTCCGCCCCCCAAGCCTAGAGGACGTCTCTGCGCACTTCCTTTTGACCTATCGAGGCAGCCTTGATCAGTGGTACAGAGAAAGTCAGAGGTTGCACAAACATCGGAGGTTTGAAGACGACGAATTAGCAGACGACGAATCAGAAGACCCCTTCTGGATTGATGTGTGCTCGAAGCTAGAAGCGGCCCTCTCCACATTCCGTCGACAGCGGCTGTCTTTCCTGGTATCATCAGAGATGCCTGCCAGGGAGCGTCTTTGGACTCGGGTGCTGGGTCAACTGTTCCCGTCGTTGCGTAAACACAATAGACTGACTGTTACGTGCGAATCAAGTGAGATTGATCCTATCTAAGATGATGTGCAGTCTATGGAACAGCTGACCAATTCCTTAGCTACTGTGGGCCATGACAACATCGTGCATGCCGTCGTCGTTGCCCCGGACAGCGAGTGGATCGCGAGTGGGTCAGAGGATAACACCATCATCGTCTGGGACTCGGACGGACAGCTGTGCCATGAATGGGTGGCTCACCACGGCCAAGTCTATTCTCTTGCATTCTCCCCGGACAGCCGATTCCTTGCGTCTGCTGGCCGCGACAGGAATGTGGTCGTCTGGGATCTGAACCAAGATGCACGTCGAGTCGCGGTACTCGAAGGGCACACGGACGAAATCAACAGCTGCGCCTGGTCTCCGGACGGCACCACGATTGCATCCGGGGGACGCGACAAATCAGTTCGTCTCTGGGACACGAATACATTCCGGCAGCTCCATCTCTTCGATGGCGCGCACCAGAGCAACGTTCGTGTTGTTCGCTTCTCTCCCGACGGTCGCTGGCTCGCTTCGGGAGGCAGGGATCACTATTGCTGTATATGGGATGTCTCGTCGGGCATGGTCCTGCAGGGGTATACAAGTGCGCTCGGTGCCGCCGCGTTTGACCCTGGGAGCACACGCCTCGCCACCGCGTCCGGCGACCGCACAGTGCGGATTTGGGGTGTGGAGACGGGAGAGCCGATTTGCGTCTTACAGGAGCACGCAAGAGGTGTCCAGGATGTGGATTTCTCTCCAGATGGCAGCTTGTTACTGTCTGCGTCGATGGCAAAGACAGTGACGATTTGGGACGCATCCACCGGTGTCATGATCATGTCACTGGAGGGACACACCGACAACGTCCTGGCAGCGCGGTTCTCTCCATGTGGGAGGTACATCGCATCAGCATCCAAAGACAGGACAGTGGGGTTGTGGAGGACAAGTGATGGGTCGCGTGTAGCGACATTCTCCGAACATCATGCAGAGGTAAGGCACGTAGCTTTCTCCCCGGACGGTCAGACGCTGTCGTCTGGAGCGAATGATGGGACTGTCTTCATTAGACGATTGGCCAACGTTATTCCAGACGATTAGTAGATCCCGTACACATACGTTGTGCTGGTGTAGATGTCGCCCTTCGGTACTTCAGTATCTGCGTGATACCGAGCCTTGTATGTATGCGAATTCTGTCACAGAGAATGTGCCGACTTGAAGGAATTCATGTACATAGGCGCCGAGCACGCAGTTCGTCGAGGCGCACAAGTGCTGTGATCGTAATCCGCCCGGCTCCCACTCCGAGGCTCCGCGTGATCTGTCTGCAGCCGCTCCCGCTCTGAATAACTCTTCATCTGCCTCCAGCGAGGCTGGCACCGTGCCGCTTCCCACTCACAGGCCTCTAGGATCAAACCTCTGGCCGCAGTCTCACGCAGTCCAAAACGTGTGCACGAGCTGGTTGCTTTGTCCTCCGGCAGCGCACGGCCCACGCCCCACGCCCCACGAGCTACGAGCCACCCGTGTTTTACCGCACGCCTATCCTCTCCCACCGCCATGTCCCCCTCTTCCGCCTCCCGCACAGGCATCCTGCTCCGATCTGCACTCGGCTGGCTGCACTGGGCGACTATCGCGACTCTGATTGTGCTGGCCCTATCACCTCGATCTACATTCGGGTACATTCCGGCACAGGGGACCAACGATACGACGGTTGCGCAACAGGCTGGCCAGAATTTCAGCGATGCGTCGAAGCTGAGCTTGCAGTGGTATCCGATGGGGTCGTATACGGAGCAGATATCGTATCAGCTGGTCGGGGCGGACAGCACGGGCATTAACAAGGTGCACTAATTGCTCTCATTTCTATTGAATGGCGTGTCACGCTGGTATTGGGGCATGCGTGAGAAGGATATGGTGAAAAAGTATTCGAGTCTCGGACGGTATCATCCTATCGCTCGAAGAGAGATGCCTACCGCGTACTTTATCGCCACTAATGGCGACGGCAATCCGGTCTATACTCCTTCCTTCCTTCCAATCAGGGTCAGGGTTACTCGATACAGAGTCCTCCTGACATCTATTCGTGTTAGGGAGCGCTTGTACATTTCTCAGAAGACAAGATGCCCAACGGCACAAGTGAGTACTTGATTTACTTGAGCGGTTGCCAGATTCAGCACACAGACGCACTCGCTGACTGAGATTGGCACATCACCTTCGCGAAATAGCCACGACGCCCTGGATCGCCCTCGTATCCTGCGACACAAACTCAACGAACGCGTCCATGGAGGACGATATATTCACACTTGCGAGGGATAGAGGGGCTGTCGCTGCAGTCGGTGTCCCGTTCTTTATCCCTGAGATGCGTTCGTTGCTGAGCAAAGATTGTCGCCACAGCTCCTATATTCCTTGAAGTCAGTGACGTGCTATATTAATCCCGAGTATTCCGATCCTGCAAACTTTGATCAAGTCATGGACATCTTCGCTACTCAATCACTCTCTTCCTCCTCGTATGTCGAACTCCCCTCGATTGTGACACATCCACCCTTACCTTAGCGTCTCATCCAGGCTCATCGAGAACCAGTTCACGACCATCCTGGGCAACTCCTCGTCCAAGTACTACTGGTTCAGCCCCACGCTGCTCAACAGCAGCCAGAACGTCATCGAAAGCGCGATCGCCAACCATGCCGTCCCCTCGGCTGGGTATCTTTTCGCCACTCTGACCGCGTCTAACGCGACCGACCCATCAGCGAACACCACAGGCACCGGCAGCACGACCACTAGCTCCGATGGGAGCAACAACTCGTCTGGCGGCAGCACGAACACTAGTCTCGCAATGTGGGCTACTCCTGCTGCTTTAATTTTGATGTGCAGAGCCTTCGGGGCTGATGTATGTTTGGAATCTCGTCAGGATCATCCTGTACGCTATAACAGGCTGCGTCTCAGCACTCTTCTGCATCGTCATCGTCTCAGGAGTACGTCTCGTTGCTTTATCGCATCTTAGCGCATATATGTCAATTTCCCTCCTGATATCCCGTCTTTGTTCATTTCCCTTGCAGGCAATAAGGGCCATCCGCCATCCAGAACGGTACGGGCCCCGTTCTGGGGACACGCTTGGCCCCCCGGGCGCACTAGGCGCGCAGAGCCGCGCACGCGGTCTCACGCGCGCGATCCTCGACACCTTCCCCGTCGTCAAGTTCGGACGGACGGACGCTGACCTCCCCGAGGCGCCTGCGCCCGCGAAGGACCTCGAGAGTGTCGACTACACCACCGCTCCGACCCCGGCGATCAGGCCGGGTATGAGGGAGGGGAGGGGCAAAGCCGTCGAGGCCGGCGACGGTAGCGAGGAAGTTGCCCTCGAGCTACGCGAGTGGACAGTCGTCGCGGCGCGTCTCGGAGATGAGGACAAACCTGGGGCGGACGCTGCGGTGCTGGGCTCCATCGCGGTTCCGACGCTCCCACACACGTCCCCAGTGGCGGACGGCGCCCAAGACGAAGACGACCAGTCCCCTCGCGCAGGCTCGTCCTCGTCCGTGCCTCAGGTAGTCCCGCGGCCCCCCAGGGTTCCTGCGCCGGCAGACGCGTCAGGGAGTGGGGGCGGGGAGAAGGACGTCGTCCCGGACGCGATTGGGCGCGAGACATGCCCGATATGCATCGTCGACTTCGAGGAGGGCGACGACCTCCGCATCCTTCCGTGCGAGGGCCACCATCGGTTCCACCAGGAGTGCGTGGACCAGTGGCTGCTCGAGCTGTCGAGCAGCTGTCCGCTGTGCCGGCAAGGTGCGTTTTCCCTCCTCTCTCCGATCTTGGTTGGGTATATGCGCAGAACTCGGTGCTGACCCGTAAATGTTACCTATCTTGTACAGACTTCCAGGCGCTGCAGACGATGATGACCGCAGGCGAGGAAGCGGACCACCTCGAGCCCCCACACGCGCTGGGGTCGGCGCGCCCGATGTCGTCTGCGGCCGCGCGATTCTCGAGGTACCTGCGGACGGCGCGGAGGCGCAGGCAGCGGCGTGCGCACGAGGACCTGGGCGAGTACGACCCGACGAACCCTCCCGTGCCGATTGCGCCGCGCACCACGTTGCATATGTAGGAGGTGCGGTGGACGGATAAGGCTGGATGCCCCGGTTATGATTCAGCAGCGCGACTATGGCGGACTAGGGTGTATGCGCAAGCCTTCGCGATCAGGGAGGCGTGCTACATGCACGGGGCGGAGCCCCTCCCGGGCGTGCAGGACGCCTGTTTGAAGTGACGAGACGTGCGCGCGCACGCATTATATGGTTCATGCGCGCTATGCGCGATAGACATTGTATTAGTATCCGTATGCGCACGGTCGATGACGGTCTGTACGAGTCAGCTTACGATATGTAATGCCTAACTATGTTGTCCATTTGCAGGTTTGTACGCTGCAGCGGTTTCTCGCTCTCCTGCAATGACTGCTGAAATCCTGGCCGCGCGGTTTGGTCCAGGTTTCTCGCGTGCGTAAGGGGGGACGTGTTTCGCAGGGATTACCTTCAGCAGAATTTCTTCTATTAGTCGCTCAGTCTCTCGTCAGGGTTTGTCTCATACTGGCTGAGGAAGGCTGGTACCGCGAACAGTGCCTCAAGGATCACACCGATAGCAAAGTAGACGAACTTCCTGTGAACAGTACTTTCCTGTTGACGACGGGCGAGATTGTTTAGCTGTCGGGAGTCCACTTTGAAACTCAGGGGGAGAGACCTCAGCGTCGGTTGAACAATTGTTTCATTATGGCGACAATAGCAAGCTGAGATACATGCACTGTGAGTGTAGTCTACGCATGTCGTCCTTTGCCAATGACGTCGCTCAGATGACGGATGCAAACAGTGCCATCCGTTGCCACTGATGTAAGTGTCTCTCCATCCTGAGAGAAAGCCACTCTGTTCACTGCCCCTCCATGATCGCGGAATACAGCCAAGCATGAGCCGTCGTCGGTCCTCCACAGCCGTACGGTCCTGTCATTTGATCCGGACGCTATGTAATGCCCGCTTGGTGAGAAGGATATTCTACGACATGGCTCGTCGTGTCCTTCGATCGAGAAGAGCATGGCACCGCTGTTCGCATCCCAGACTTTCGCCGTTTCGTCACCAGAAGCAGACACTATGAGGTGCCCATCTGGGGAAAAAGCTACTGCAAACACCTCGTTTTTATGTCCTGCCAACGTGAGGAGCGTCTCTCCCTTCTCCACATCCCATATTCGAATGGTGTGATCCATCGAGGCGGTGGCCAGGCGTGTGCTCCGGGGATGGAAGGCAGCGGCACGGAGCAACCCTCCGTGTCCCCGGAGGACCGTATGGAGCGTACGCCTCGCAACATCCCAGACGCAGCAGTAATGATCCTCGCCCCTAGACACCAGCCAACGCCCGTCTGGAGAGAACGCGACGGACCAGATAGCCCCTTCGTGTGGTCCCTCGAAGACGTGGACCTGCTGGAACGTCTGGGCGTCCCAAAGGCGCACGGTTAAGCTTTCCGGCTCGGGCTCGGGCGCCCCCGGTCTGTAAGGATAGCTGTTCTCGTCGCATGCAGACGCGATCAGAGTGCCGTCTTGGGACCACGCACAGGACGCAACAGCGTGAGTATGGCCCGCGAGCGTTGCAGTTTTGCTTGCGTCTTGGTTTACATCCCAAATCGCGACCATGCCGTCGGAGCCGGCGGAGACAAGATAATGACTGTCGGGGGAGAACGCGAGGGAATTCACAACCCCGCCAGGGCCGTGTGCTACCCATTCCTTTGCGACCTCTCCCCTCGAGTTCCAAAGGATTATGGTGGAGTCATAAGACCCTGTCGCTATCCAACTGCTGTCTAGTGAATTGGCCAGACATTCTACTGATTTATCATGGCCAACGCAGTCCATCAGGAAAACGTCACGGACTTGGACCCATACTTGAGCCCAAGTTCATGTACTTGGACTCAAGTCTGTGTACTTGGCCTCAAGTCTGTGTACTTGGCCTCAAGTCCGTGTACTTGGACTCAAGTCCGTGTACTTGGCCTCAAGTCCGTGTACTTGGACTCAAGTCCGTGTACTTGGACTCAAGTCCGTGTACTTGGCCCCAAGTCCATGTACTTGGCCCCAAGTCCATGTACTTGGTCCCAAGTACACGGACTTGACCCAAGTCTATATACTTGGGGTACTTGGGGTACTTGGGCCACAACTTGGACTTTACATATTGACTTCAGTATACTCAGGCCTCAATTTGAGCAATTGGTGTTCTATCAGTCACACATCTTGTATACTTCTTATGTAATAATATCTATCATAGACATCCATACACTAGTTGTAAACCAGTCTGTTTTGAGGCTGTAGAAGCAGCTTTATAGTCTATTAGAAGAAGGGCAATAACATGTGATAGAAGACTTTAAGTGTTACAATGTGCTTGTT